TATGAGACAACAGAAGAATTCATGGAGAAATGCCATGGGCTTCAGTTTTGTTTGATTTTTAAGCAGTCAGAACTTCACTCTTCAGGTCAGAAAAAAATTAACTAAGAAACTTAATGAAGTAAATTAGTTTGTTATTTCTCAATTTCAAGCTATATTTTGACATTTCAGGATGAAAAAAGACACTACTACTTCTGACTTTTCCTTGGTGTCCATGAAAGCAGTGCCTGAGGCATCACATCTGCAGTGAATCCTTCTCCATGGCAGTGACACAGAGAGGTCAGTTCTTATTTAAACCTCCTGTCTCCTAAAGGTATGCCTTCTTCTAGTAAAACATGCAAGTAAAGTGGTAGTTTCTGCTTTTACTACTGATGAATAATCTGGTCATGGGAGTAAATGATCTAGTTTAAAGAAAACATAGCTAAAATATTTACAGCTATATTCCACCCATTTAAAGTTGGAATTTTGTTGACTTCATCAGTCCAAAATGTTATATTCAGGTCTGGAACTGAAGCAATTGGGTTTTTTAGTTTGTAAAAGTGAGTTTCACCCAAGAATATTCTAACTCAAGTTAGAATAAAACACCCTCATCTTAGTACAGTACTATGGTGCAACTCAGAGAAAAAAGTTTCACACTTTCTGATGACACAATGAACTAATATATCTTTTTTTTTCCTTACAATTTTATACAAAGATAAGACTACTGTGGGAAATTACTGGATTATATTAATAAAATCTATCTCTCATATCCTTTCTGACTGGCAGCAACCATTTTTGGAACTGAGTGTGTGTCAGTCTGCTGTTCTTCAAGGATTTTCTAGCTTCTCTTTGGATTTAAAATAACTTCAGATGAAATCAGAATAAATTATATTTCTCTTATAAATTTTCTTCATGTTTGAATACTGCCAACAGTGCAATTTGAATTAATCTATCCTAATTTAAAGCCTGCTTCTGATGACTTTTGACAGTTTCATACTCCAGAAGCAGCTACAGTAAAACTAACAGGAATATATTTAGGTTTTTACTTTATTTGTTTTACGTAAAACATAATTTGACCTTTAAATATTTACTAGTTTCAGCAGATAAGATAATTGCAATATAATTTTAAGGTGTACTAACCATTATGCTGTGTGGATTTTTTGTGCTAGGTTTTTTGGGGCTGTTTGTTTGTTTGTTTGTTTTTTATATTTGAGTTTACTTCATTAGGAAGTTGATACCACTGCTTCAGAAACATGTTGTATTGCTCCCTTTGAAATATCTTCTCTCAGAAATGGATTTTTTCTCTCCCTCTAGAAATTACTTAGCATCGTAAGTCAGGCACAAAAGTCAGGCCACTGCACTGAATAGAGCATAAGTGTTACTTTTAAATGAAGTCCTGCTAAAAATAAACCAGACATTGATTTATAAAAGCTTATAACAATGTAGAACAGTGAGACATTTTAGATGGCAATATACACAGGAATGGTGGTTGAACTGCACATACCCTATTGCTAGAAGCAAATATCACAAGCTGCTCATGACAGATTTTTAATTAACATATATTACCTCCTCCAAATAGAGAGGATGCTGTAAAACAAAACACCTTCTCTGACTTAGGGAGTACTGCCAATATGCTTCATCTGAGGATCTGTCCCTCAGACCTGCAAGCTGCACTCTGGGTTTAATAAAAGCATTTTGTGCCTTAGCAAGCAGATCTAGTCACACAGTCTGCCTAATTTGGCTCCACAGAGGCCTGGTTTCCTTAATCCACCATGGGTATACATAAATGGTTCCATTTATATACTAATGAACAATAATAATGTGGGGCCATACATGCACCCAAGATAAACAGACGTACCAATGCAATACAGAGCCTTATATCCTAAAATATATTTATTTCACTGGAACAAAGTCAATACCAAGTGGGTAAGAACTCAGGCTTTCCACATGGACAAAGAAGCTCCCATAAAGCAGCACAGGCTCACACTTGGGCAACTGTTTACCCATTTTCTTATGCACTTCCCTGCCCCTTTCAGATGATACATTCCCCAGGAAGTACATTTACTAGCTCTGTAAAACCAGCATCTCACACGCTAAATCCTCAAAGTCCCTGCATGAAGCAATTAATTATTAATAAACCCTGCAGACCAACCTGCAGCATTCATCATGTGCCTTACCATTTCTGCACTCTGCAAGTACAGCCAAGGATCATTTACAGGCAGAAGGTGGAAATTCCTCCTTCTCCATCATCAGAATTTCTTGAACCCCCACTCTATGTCTGACACAGAAACTCTGACTCAGAGAAGGTTTCTGCCAGCCTACCAGGATAAGCAGTTGTTCCTTTGGAGCCCTTCTATCAGACAGACCAGAAGGTAATGGAAGCAAAGAAAAAGACCTTCTGGAAGTGGTCAAAATTCCAAAATTTCAGAGAATTTGGAGTCTTTAGTACATGATTTCTATTTCAGGGAAAGTTTGAGAGTATTTAGAACAAGAAGATTCTTTATTAAGCTTTTCAGGTCCATCATGCTGTCCTATAATTCTCTGTAGCCTCATCTTCTGCAGAGCAAGAGGTATGCTGTGTACTGTAAAGCCACTGAAGAGTGTAAAATACGACCAGATCTAGGCTATAGTTTTGAAGTATAAAGTGTGATGGGTGTTTGCTGATGTCACAATGTCAGGAAAACTTCTCATGGCCATAAATACATGAGGAAAGGAGTGGATTCATTTAACAAAGCATCAGGGATGTACTATCCTTCATGTAGCTTCATCCATTCATGAGGATTCTGCCAGCACAAGTATGGTTTCATTTGTGAAATACATGCAGCTTCTGTCATTTGCTAGTGTAGATGAAAGTAATGCTGTGAGAATTAGCCCTCCCATAATCCAGGCAAATTAACTAGCATCTTTGCCTTTCTTTTTCCTGTTTAATAGGGGATGCGTGTGCTAAAAGTAGATTACTGAAATACTTAACTCCTTAGTAAGTAGTAGAATTCAGTTCAATGTTCCTTGCAGGGCTGTAACATTAGCATGTCTAGTGAGATGGGCACAACATGAAACTCCAATGGCACACTATAAAATAGATCTGAAGGCAGGTACATAAACATCCATGGTTATGCTAGCATTTTTGTTTTCTTCTATGCTCATGATATTTACCTTTATGTTGTGAAGCCATCTATGAATACATGAACTGGACTCAAACAGAAGATGTGCTCCAGATGTGCACACTAAATGCTCCAACTGATAGTGAGCAGGCCATGGAACAAATTGGAACTGAGTCCAAGTTACACTCTAGATATGCACATAGTATGGATTTTGAGTTCTCAGGAACAACTGTTTCACTCTACAAATTTAATCCTACTTTTTCCTTTCTATTTGCCAATATTATACAAGCTTAACTTGGAAGCTCTGCCTAGGTTCCCCAAAAATGCACTCCAGCAGCAGGCGACAGAAAGGCCCTAGCCAATGGCAATCCTTCAGTGTCAAAGTACACGCCTAGTGAAAGCAGAGACCAAACTGTATCTAGTCTGATGTTAAAATCTGAAACTGTATATTATTTAGGTGTGGAGGCATCCTCAAGACACAATGTCATTCATACCCACTAAATGTCATTTGCAAATAATGTTTACCCAACTGGAAAGCAATGCATTATTGTTCTGAATAAAATACCAGCAGTCTGGCTAGGAAATTGTACTGCCTAAGAAACTGCCAAAAACCTCTAGTCTCACTAAATTTCAGCTACACTAATAACATTAAACTAATAACTTCTGGCTCCATTCTCATTTACCATATTTAACATGTTTGCTCTCTCTTTCTGATGCTTCTAATGTCACCTGGTACCTACCTTCTCCAGCTTTCTGTACACCATCACTGATGACTGAAAATAGATGATACCCATTAAATAAGTTCATCTCTTGGTCTCAGTGTTACACATTCATCAAGGAGTAAGAGAAAGGAAACTTCTAGGAAGTTAGAGCTCAGATCTAACACTGACACTATAAGCACTTCTCATCATTGCAGGATGACAGGAGATGATCACAGCAGTGCTGGGTCACATTACATCACTTTCATCTATTTACATCTACAAAGCCAACCTGAACAGAGAGGGGCTTGAACTAAACTAAAAGCAGTTCTTAACCCCAGCACCTGAAATAGCAACAATGTTCTGGACACATCTGCATAGCACATTTTAGCATTTACAATATATGATTCCAGATTTGCACAAAAAGTAGCAGCACAACTGGAGAGCAGTCCTCAGAATTTAAGACATCTGCATGCAACTTTCAGAGGTTACTATAGTGAGGAACAAAAATCCTCAGGAACAATTATTTCTGCTGTAGTAATTAACACCTTGAGACATGCAGCTCTCTTCTGCCCCTGAATATTTGCACAGAAAAACTACCAATTCTACCAACAGTAAGTAATTACCACACTTCTATAGGCCAGGACCTTGCCAAATTCAAGTTGTCAATACTTGTCCTTAATGAAGTAGTTTGGACAGACAAGGTTTTTCTAAACTAACATAAGGGTGCAAAAGCTTTTAAATGGCCTCTTAAAAGGCTTCCTATGACTTTCTCTTTTTTATTTATTTAAAAAAATTTCACAAATAGCTAAAGTAATTGAGAAGGGGAAGAAAATTAAAAACTTGGATTGCTGTAACTGCTGCTTCTGCCTTTCCTCTTTTCATAGCGTTATACTCTTGCAACCCTCCATTATGCCTTTTTCTAATTTAGGCCTTAAACTTGCAACACGCTCCCCTCAGAGTCCTGTGGAAGACTGTGTGGTTGTACACACATGAAACAGGCTGTGCAACAGGACCTCGTGGTGAGACAGTGACTTGTTTTGTGTGTGTACCATGCCCAGCGCAACCAGGTCCTAACACCACATCGCTCCTTGGCACGGGAGCTGTACAGGGAATAGACTAAACAGAACTCCACGAGGTGAGGGTGAAGCGATGCTGTTTATGGGCAGTGGCGGCAACCACAGAGATAACACCAACGACAGGGAGGAGAGAGAACCGGGATTACCTGCTGTGCCTGCTGCAGCAGCTCCATTCGCTCGTGCAAGATCTGGCTGTCAAACTCACGGCTCTGCCTCAGGATCTGCCGCCGCACCTTCTCCACTGCAGCTCGCAAATCCTCCCTCTGGGCTTCTGTCAGAGACTCGCTCGCCCGCCTTCCTGGATCCTGCTGCAGGGCATTATACAGCGTGGCTTCCAGCTCCTGGATTTTCTAATGCAACCCAAATCACACACAGACAGGCTGACGTTTGAATCCAGCAAGCAAACGACCCACCAACAGCTAGAGGAGAAGGCCAGCAAGCAAAGCTTTAGGCAATAGGGAAGGACAGACACAGACAGGTGGACAGAAAGCGGCAGTCGTGAGCAGTGAGGAGCATTCCACACAGAGTGCACGCAGCCTCCTGGCACTGATTTACACCCAAGCGATGGTTTCCATTCTAGTAAATGATTGATTCGTCCGTTTAAGAAAGATTGAGATGATAGGTCTGCACTCAACACCTGAGAAAACTCCAAATCCTGATGCTGAACATAACAAATTCAATGCAAACTAACAGATTTCCTTCAACTGCAACTGAATTGTTAAACCATCCTACGAAATAAAAAGACCACATGAGAAACTGTGAATAGAAATCTCACTCTCTCTCTCTCTGGCCCTACTATCCTGGCCCCAGGTCTACGTCAGTGGCTTAGTTTCAAGTTGCCATAAGCAATGGAGAGAGGAACACTTGTATACTTGTATATACTAATCCCTCATCCATCCCTTGCTGTTTGCCAGATTCCTAACATGATTCTCATGCACTGGCCAAAACTGCAGTACTTTGCAAAGCAGAAAATACAGGAGAACTTCACATTCACATGGAGAACCTTATTCCCAAGAGGAAAGAAGGGAATCATGGCAGTGTTTCCCTGATTACTGGGGTTAGTATGATCCTATTAAAAACCAGCATTCAGACTGACAATATTTGGATCAAGAGCATCTGACCACATCCCTTTAGCCCTCATGACACCTTTGTGAGGTAGGTAATTCCATCCATATTAGTGATGCATAAACAACTGCACAGAGAGGTTAAATGGCTTGCCCAAGGTCACAGTGCTAGAAATAGAGCCTGCTTGCTTTTATCTCTGTTATCTGCTCTGAGCACTAGACCTTGCTTCTTTTCTGAAAACATTTTCCCCGTAAGAAACTTTTACAATGTATAAATAATGCTTCAGAACATTGTATGTTGATTTGCTAAAGTCTCACTATTAACAAAGTTGGGTATGCAGTTTTATCAATTCTTAGATAATTCCTAATTGTTGCTCAGCCTGAGAAAAGGCAAAGTTGCAGCTTCCCTTTTGAAAACTAGGAAGGGTAAGGTTGGATGGGACCACGCAGAAAGGAATCCCATAGGAAGAACAGGCATTCCTGATTTAGGATCGGTTAGCAGCAGTAATACTTACAAATGCTTCAGGAAAAGAAATATTAGAAAAGTAATTTCTGGTGTATTCTACTAGTCACAGTTTTTTCCATACATAAACAAGCTCTTCTCATTCAAGAGGTACTAACAAGATGTTTATATACCACAGAATAAAAAATGCAATGCAAAAACATTACACTTGTAAGTACTATAAACCGTTTCCTAAGTTTTCATTTAAGTAATAGTTGATTTCTAGTCTGGTAGAAAAAGAGATATAAAGAAAAAAAGAACCCTATTTATAATTAAAAGAAACAAAAACAAAACCCCTGCATTTTATCAAATCTGTTCAAACAGAAAAATTTAATGACTCTTCTTTTCCTACCATGTAAGCCTGGTCCAGAGCTTGCTTCCTGTAGTCGAGTTCTTCCTCTAAATAACCCTTCTGTTTACTGAACAGGTCCTGAGCAATAATAAAAACAAGGGAGTGTTTGTTCTTTATCCTAATTCATGAAGAATCATAAATGCCATCATTTTTACACAAGCTTTCCATTTGAAAGTAAATGAAAACCTACAGCAAATGACCACATTCATCCTAAGGATAACTGGAATATCAAATTAACAATATTAGTACTTCAAATACATGTATTATATTAACAAGTTGTACCTAGAAATTACTGACCTCTACACCAGCGTACAAACCTGCCTGGACCTGACAGAAGTGCACAGAGCAGCAAGAGGTGAATGGGGATGTGCATGCATGTGGTCAATAGCCATAACTTGCACAGGGCAGGACAAGGTAGAGAAAAGAGAAACACAAGTGAGGGCACTTTATGGCTTTTCTGAAAATGTCCCATGCATATCCTTAAGGAAATCATGGGGCAAACCCTAATTTCTGTTGTCTAGCCTGTTCTTCTTGGGAGGAAACATGAACATGCAGGTCTGCAGCTGGGTTCTGCAGCACCATTCTGTGCTGTGCTACTGAAGCAGAAGTAACAACTCGGTCTTCAAGCCAATTTGAAATGGGCAAAGTGATGCCCAGAGAGGTTGAGTGACTAGCTGAAGAGCTGAGAAGTTTTCAAGATGCCTAGGATTTACAGGAATTTTTTACTTTTGTTTTTAAAAATCAAACTACTCAACTTCCATAGTTATTTCATATATATAAAAATATAAACTCCAAAGACTGGGATTTAACTGGAACTCGGTATCCAAAAGCATGATGTTGCAAGCAAGTTGTGGACATTCAAATGGTTGTCTGAATAGTCAAGCCTTTAGAGTGTTTTGGATCATGGACTCATAGGATGGTTTGGGTTGGAAGGGACCTCAAAGACCCTCTCATTCCAACCCTCACGCCATGGGCAGGGACACCTTCCCCTAGACCAGGATGGGTGATAGTAAGTAGAACATAAAACAGTTATTCAATTTTATTAGCTTTTCTTTCGAGACATGTTTTCACACTCAAAAAAATTAGTAGTAGACCAGAAAGCAGAGAAGCCCTTTGACTGAATTCAACATTTTCCATCATTCTTTTTTCTATTCAACAAATTTTTTAATTTCAACATATAGAATAAATGCCAAATTAAATACATAGGGTTCTTCAGATGATTAACTGCAGCCTTTACTAAAAGTATCAAAAAAATCAAACATTGCTGGTCCAGTTAGTTTTATTGGATATGGGATTGCCCCAAAGTCACTTATTTGGCCAAATTTTGCCTTTACACATACATGTGGACTTCTGACAACTTTGCTGTCAGCTACCAGCATAGCACTGACACTGAGTTTGCCTAAGCATGAACCATGATGATGAATCCTCAGTCCAAACATCTACTTTAAAACAAATCTGTTCTAATCACCAAATTAATGTTTTGGAGGGGCTCAGAGCATAAAGTAACTACAGATGACCTCCTACATGTTAAGAGCAACCCAAAACTGGTGACAGTAGAAACATATAAGACCAATATTAAAGGACTCAGAGGAATAAGGTGCTATTTGTTCTCTGTATAAGAAGCATAATATTTATTATTAATTTGTTTTGTAAACTTGCAGTTCTTTTAATTACCTATTAATAAATACTGAAGGAAAAGCCAAGGTCTAAGAAAGGCCTTGATCTTGGGGCTGGAATTTGATTACACACAGATGGGCATCTATAGCTATGATACCCATTTTAGAATATGTTGCTTCAGCTACTGGTCCAGAAGGGCAGGGATCTCCACCAAGTCCCATAGGACATATTTGTCAGCCCCTTGTGGACATCTCCAGAACTCTGAAGAATATAATGTGGCATTAGACACCATGCTTATGCAACTGAATCCCACCTTGACTACCCAAGTGGCATAATTTTCTGATGGGGATGGATTACAGCAACAGCTGGTGGCTGTTGTACAAGATGCAACACCACCGTGAACTGTATAGTAAAGGACAGGCCTGGTCCTGACATGCTTACAAGTGTCTGACACCAGAGAACTAGACTGACTTGCCTGAGACTATAGAGAGGGTCAGATCAGCTCAGTTGAGTTCACCACCAGATCCCAGAAAAGCAACGCAGCTGCCCTGATCATGTTACTTCTCAAAAAGGTATGGTAAAAGCTGCCCACAAAAAGTAAGAGGGAAGGAAACAAGAATAGGACCTCAAATCCTTAACATGGGTTCCAAAGATGACTAAACAAGTGCTCAGCCGTTCTGAAAGCACCATGTTAGAATGTTATTTCTCAACTCATTTCATGATTGAGTCAATCATTAGTGATGCAGATTCTCAGATTGCTGTGCTAAACAAATAGATGCAAGGGATACCCAAAGTAAGAGTTGAAAACATCACAGATAGTAAGTGGGAAGATAATAAACCAAGTTATATAGAAATTATGTTTTTCCAATTCTTTTTACAAAAGAACTTAGTATTTGAGGGCACTTTCCCTTCCCAAAACTTTTGCATTTTTCCATAACAAGAGTTAAAAAATAAAGAAATACTAAATTTGGGAAGGATCATGTCTACATTACATTACAATCAGCATGAAAGGCTACACTCAATAGGGCACTTCCTTTTTGTTTGTGGCTCAAAGACACACTTCTTCAGTGGCCGTGGGCAAATCACTTAATCTCCCTGTCTCATTGTCCCATTCTTTAGGATGAATGTAATGCTAATTATTTATCTACCAGTAAAAGGTGTGGTGAGGATTAATCAGTGTTTGGAAAACCATTTGAAGATGCGAAGCACAGCATGCATGGTAAACCAATAAAAATCAACACCTTCTAAAATGATTTGTTCAACATATGGAAAAATAAGGTCAGTTTGTCCTGCAAGACAGAATTGCTTTTGAGAAAACATTCTGTCTTTAGGCATGAAGACCATGGGACAAGAAAGGTCATCTGGAGTAAGAGGTCTTGACAGCTTGTCCAGAAGCTGAGTACCAGAGAGCAAAGAAATACCCTTGACAATTCTAGCAACATGACCTCAAGATTCAAAAGACAATGGTGTTGCCAGACAAATTAATACACAGAGAAAGCACAGACAATTTCATACTGTTTGGTCAATATGCTCTGTTATTATGCATTTGTGCCCTAATTTGTATATAATATGCTATTTTTGTTCTATATAGATTTGACATTTCCCTCTCACCCCAAAGAATAAAAGCAATAGATTGTTCTAGAAACCTCTTGCCTATTTTACCATGAAGCAATCTCTGTTAAGCAGAGAAAGGCAGCAAATCAACCTGGGATGAAGTTTATACACATTCCCTCGAAATGAGTTTTAGCTAAATGAATTATACTTTTAGCTACTGTTCCTTACCTTTTCATTCTCCAGGTCTAACATCTTCTGTGTCAGTGCAGCTTCTGTCCCCTCTATCTGTTTCAACCACTACAAGAACATAGCAGTGTGAAGGGGAAAAAACAGAAAATGAAAGAAAAATAGAGCTTTTGCAAAAGTTGGTACCAAACAGTTTTCAAGCTGGTTGCCAACACTTCCAGGCACATGAATAAACAAGTTGTGAGAACACAGGCAGAATGGAAGACTGCAAGAACATACTAAGGACTAGCAAATGGAGGTTGCTTTCCTACAGTAAAACAATTTTTTTTTTCCCTGTAAAGTTCAAGATACAAAATAGACTTGGGTCAAAATGCAAAATCAATCCATTTCTGACGTGATATACCAACAAGCACAATGCTTGTTGGCCTGATTTGCAAAACTATCATCTGACTTCAGGCATCCACTCCTTCATTTTTTCAGAGGGCAGTTTAAACAAAAGACAAAGTGGAAAATTCAATCCTTGATTTTGCACAGTTTGCTGCACTCTTCATGGGAAGAGGTTCACTTCTAAAATATCAGTAATGTAGAGGGAAAAGCAAAACAAACAGACAGACAGACAGACAGATGGAGGTTCTTGTAATTGCTACAATGAATCCCTCACCACTCTGGTGACCAAAAAACCAATAACAATTAAGAAGAATGGCATTCTTTGCTTTCTAAAGAAAAAATCACATATTGTAATAGTTAAATGCATGGATACAAGTTTCTTACTTAATCACTCATCATCATTGGGATTATATTAATATTTCACATTTAAGTTTATTGGAATGGATGGGCAAGTTCAGTTCTGAATTAATTGTTTTATTTCATTTCCCTGCTGGTCTACAATAAGGATCAATGACTAGCTTACAGAGAGCACAGTTTAGACTAATGCTTCCTTTTATAGCACCAGCTCCCATTAAAACCAGATGTAACTTTGCCATTGATAATTATCACTTTCCTCAAATGCCTTGCTTACTAACATTGGACTACTCATATTTGCTTCAATTCTTTTAGTAAGCATTTTTAGTAAGCTTTTAGTAAGCTTTTTTAATTTAGAGTTTTGGTGAATTTATCAGGGTTCAGACTCAAAGGAATTAATGACACACCAGGATTTTTCCCCAAAGATTTAGATACGAAATTTCAAACATAAGTTTACAAATACACAAAAATGTAAATTCATTATTTCATCATTTTGGATCTTCCACTTTTTAAGAGACCGGTGAATAAAAAAGGGAAAATTATTTTACCTACTTAACTTTCTACAGGAAAAAAAAAATTAATAGGAACCTTATATTCCCCAGGTATTCTATTTTCACCATCTTTGTTTTCTTCATTTTGAAGGTGACAAGCTGAAGATATTCCTAAGGGAAGCCTCACCTCTGATATTCAGCAAGACCATGAGCATTCTGAACCCTTGAAATTAATAGAAATGGGCATCTCTCACAGCTACCCTCAATCAAGTGAAGGGCTATTTGCAAAAATTAGAGGTCTCAATTTTTTGAAGGTATGAATGATATGCAAAACTAAATGTTGGTTCTGACCTTCCTATGCCTGTAAGCCTTTCTGGAACCAAGGGAGACATTTAGGAGTCTCTATCTTAACCTTTTATACTGAGGTTCTTCCCATTTCATTTTTGGATTTAAGGGGCTAAAATCATCCCCTTTCCTTTTAATGCCACAAAGAAAAATATATGGATTTTAGAACTTTTCCTCATTTTTACTTTGCTTATAGCAATCACTCACTCAAATTAATGATTTTTAAATTATCTAATGTAGATTATCTACTTCAAGATATTTAGATAAGTAGATTATCAAAATTATACCAAATAAAGTAATTATTGCAAAATGCTCGAATTTTAATTTCAAAGCTCTGATTCTGAATTTCAAGAATGCATCTAGGAAAGATTTAACAAGAACATATGAAAAGGATGACAGAGGTTTCTTTAGAGAAATATGCAAGTCTTGCTTAGTTCTAAATATCACCCCTATTCATATACAGATTATATTCCCTCTGTAACTGAGAAGAAAAGAACTAGTCATGCAGAAATGAGTGACCTGACTGAACACTTACCTTGCCCAAACTGCTTTTTCTCTATGTCCACTACTTTACAGAGGAAAGGACCACTGACTACTCTGAGCTTTTTCAGTCATCCACAGAAATGAGCCTGAGATGGACCATGGGCACCTCACCAAGGATGTCACAGCAACGTGTTCCCAGAGCACTGAGGACATCGGCACTTCTGAGAATGAAACCTCTTGTGTTAAGTGGCTTTTTAGTACTTCATGGGGAATATCTCTAAAACAGGTCTTTATTTTTAAACTGGGGGGTTTTTGTAAGATTGATTTTACCTCAAGACATCACAATTCCAACATTCATGTAAGGATGAATTCATGCACAACTCCAGATGATCCAAACAGAAAAATCATGCTTCCCTGGCATGTGATATCGTAGAAGGCATGTTCAATTTTCAGCAGAGAAAAACATTTACAGAATTCTACCTTTTCACAGAGGGAAAGCACAGTCCCAGCTTGGATTATTGCAACCTGCTCTTCATTTCTCAAATTCTAAAATACAAAAATATGCATTTTAAATTGGGTCAAAAATTCATCCTTTAACACAAGAAATAACATTACTTCAAAAAATAAATAATTTATAACATTTAGAATTATAGAAATGACCAAAAAAGTATCCCATTATTAAAAGTATTAAAAGTTAAACCAGGAGTGCTTAGTTTCCACTCAATTTCAGAACAATACCTCCCCAACACTTTCGCAACAATTTATTATTTGATGAAAATTAAGTGGTTTCTGTCAGCAATTTTGAATTTTTTTTTCCCTTAGGCCTGTTAATTGGACTATGGCCCTACAGCAAGTGAATCTCCCCTTCGTGCACTTTCAGAGCTAGACTTCCCATTAATGAAAACAATGCAAAGATCAAGTACCACAGAAACCTCCATAGAATTTTCAACATAATATGTAAATCTAGAACTTAAAACTAGCATTGTAAAGACCTCAATATCTTAAAGCTAGCTATAAACTGGACCCAGGTCCCTGGATGTTTGTGCCACAACTGCATGACCGAGATTTTATTCTATATTTGGCACTGTAGAAGAAGAAAGGGACACAGTTATCCTTGCCTTGTCTTTCTCCCAGAAAATCCACTCCTGGCGGAAAACAGTCTTCACAGTAGTAGGTGCTACTATTACTACTCAAAAGAAAAAACTTCGCAAATAACTTGGTCTGGCTTTCATTTGTGTTTTAATCTGTTTTTATTTCCTTTTATATCTAGTCTGGGTATTATCTTTTCCCTCTGCCTACTTCAGTGCCTTTTTCTACATCATCAAGATCAAAACCTAGCTTAAAAAAATACACTTTTCACTGGTATCAGTTTAACTGAAAGATTTCAAGTTTGTAAAAGCAGTACCTAACCATTCATATTCTTCATACAAATACATATAGGCATATAAAAATCACCCTCTGTATTTTCTTGGATGTTATTATCTGCTGTGGAGAAAAAAAATGCATTAAATTAACCATAAAACTGAAGGTATATTTAAAATTAAAAATTTGTTACCCCATTATCTCCAAGAATATCTAATTTCTTCATAAGTTCAGATATGTTCACATCCTGAAAAAGATGTTCAACACTTATTTTTTTTAAAGTAGATGAGAAATAGATTATATATGCTACATTTTATGTACTGTTTATTCACTTCTGCATGCAAAAAGAGTACAAATAAGTGAAACATTAGTTTTGTATCACAATTACAAAAGTGTTATTAATACTTTCAAAGACAAAACAAAATGACACTTTTGATTACAGCAAGCAACCTGAATGCCTGTGCATGAGGGCAGAATGTTCCTGCACCACTCACATTTATCATCCTGCTAATGCATGTAGAGGAACGACCAAAACTGATAAACAGGCTTAAAAGAGTGTTTAAAGACTAAAGGTTTAAAAACCATTTTTTTTGTTTGTTTGGAGTGGAGCATCAACCACATCAACCTACAGAAGTTAAAAGGACAGAGAGCATGAACAAAACAATTGCTAAGAAGGTTCACTGGGTGATTTGCTGTTTGCTTTTTATTTTCGTTGTTAAACAAAACTATGGAGTTTTGAATCAGCCTTACAATGCCAGAAGGGAACGTGTGCAGAGGGCTGAACATGCTCCTCCAAACACCATCAGTTCATAACCTTTGTGAGTAGAAAGTTATGTTTCTCTGCCAGTCAGCTCTCAGATCCACAACTTTTTGTGGATCTGAACAACTGAACAACCCCTCCTTATTAAGGCCCAGCCACTGAAATAAAGAGAAACACTGCTCTGATCAAAAAAAAAAAAAAAAGAGAGAGAGAGAAAGGAATAAATTCACATGATGTTTTTATTTTGCACTGTGCCAGGGTCCATTCTGAGGTCCCAGAACTCTATTTTCTACTTTAAAAAATTGTTGGAAGGGGTCATGGAACTGTCTAACCAGCCCTAATCACATTCTCCTGAATTATTCCAAGTATGGGCCACAAGTTCACGTGGACCAGGGATCATTTCCGTTGACAGGTTGTATGCAACTATGTTATTAAAAAGTAGGAAGGTTTGACAACATGGGAAAACATCAGTTCGTGTGAGCCCGAAATGCTTAATACACATACATAAAGCAAATCAGCCTTGTTAAACGCTGCCACCCTCAACTTCTACTCATATTTAGCACTGCTTAGAAGAGGCCAGTATTTCACAAGGATCTCGGCTCACTTATTTCATTGCTTCCAGTACATAACATGCTGCTTTGCATTTATGCTTTGGGCAACTGCATTATGTCGGTAGTCAGGATAATCAATCTTTAACACTTTTTAAAGCTAAACCAGCTATGCTTGCAAATTACATAGCTACATCAGAATATATTAGCTCATGATTCTATAATCAACAGACTCCAGTGAGGAAGGCTCAAAATGAAATGAAAGATTTCCTGAAGACTAGACACAGATGTGGGAGAGAACATACAAATAAGTCCAGTAAAGTGTTGTGTTCAAGTTGTTTGATCCTGAGAAGTTCCCTCCCTCCCTTTCATCTCTTCCCAAACACTTCGCTGGTGTTCCCAAATGTTATCTTAGTTATTTAACACCGCACATCACTAACTCTAGAGTGGTGCACATCTTAATACACTTGTGTTTGGAACGATGTTAAAAACAAAATATTGATTATGATCAGCAATGACAATGTTGAATGGAAACTTCTTTAGCCAAACAGTAATGCTAGTGAGAAATTGAATTCACTAAGACATACAAAGTTTTGCATCTATTGAGCCAGAAATAATCATTCTAATTCATTTATTTCCATATGAAGCATAAAGGATGAATTAGAAACCAAACCAGATTTTGCATCATTTTGGAATCTACCGTGCTACCGATAGCTAACAACTTTGAAAACCACTAAAAGCAGATAAAAGGTCAGCAGTGTCAGTATGCTCATGTTAGGTGACTGCCTCTCCTTACAGGTAAGTAAACTGAAGGTCAGCCTGAAAAGAACATTGCTGTTAATGACTGTCACAGTAGACAATGGGGAAAAATAGGAATTCTAGATTCTGGTACACTGTTCCCGCTTACAGCCAATATGCGAGTTAGAATAATGGATAAGCTAAAAGCAGGTCTGGCATCCCATGGAGGTTCTATTTGAAAGGTAATACACTAACTGATGACTCTTGATGTGGTTAGGGAGATGAGTATCCAACCAAACCTGTAGGTAAGAATGAGGTTTTAACGTTTTTTTTTTTTAGACTACTGAGCTTCCTAAAAATACGCAGCCTACAATTTCAGTTCATTTCCTCTAGAGATCGTACTGTGCTCATTAAGGCACTAAATAGGAGCAAGCCTCTTATAAGAGGACTTGTAAACACAATTAAAAATATTAGCACAAATCACTATGGCACTAAGATTATGCCACAGTTACTTGTAGAAAAGTTACCCTGGCCTGTTGTGCAATATTACTGACAGCACAAGTCTGAATTCAATCTTAGCTGAAGCAGCATGCAAATCAAGTGTCACAGCTAGCCTATTCATGGGGGAACAGAACTGAAAAGAGTAATCCTTGCTTCCTCTTAGCAAAAGTTAACCAAGGGAGGTCCTGATGTTTGTCTTGTGCTTGATCTAAAATGATAGAGTTCCAGCTATCTACATTTGGATCAAGCAGCTCATGCTTCAAGGCCCTGGCCTAGGCAAATAACTTAAGCATATTCATTCAAAAAACAAAATGCTTCACTAAATTGGGTATAAAATAATAGCTGAATGTCATATTTCTGAACTTAGATGAAAACATTTAATATCAAGAACAATGTAGTGTAGCAAGTCTGACAATGAATCACATCAACTTCCACATTCTTCCCCAGACCAAATGTAAATTACTTTGATGGATCAGCCTTCATTTTCATTGAGGAACTCCTGATTGACTACTCAAACAGATTCTTATGAAATCCTTTCCCCGGTTAAAAATACCTTTTCTTACTAAATTTATTTTTTCATGTTTTCTTCCCTGGCAAATGCCAAACAATTTGTTTGGATATTAGGTTGGTCATTCCAAAAAAGTTCCTAGCCATCCAATTGTTTCTAATGCTCTGCATATACCTTTATTCCTTCCTGATGACAGAACAGTTGAAGTGCACTTCCATTGTTTTCAGGGAAGGTGGTTATATGAAGGTTAAATGCTGGCGACCTTCGCTCTCTCTCCTGAGGAAAGATTTATTTAAAAACAACATGTGTGATTATCTGTAAACATTTATTCCCCACCTTTACAAAACATACTTGCACATTAAAAAGGCAGATTCCTGTTCACATTCCAAATATATGATATTTCCTCATATTTTTACCATATTTGAAGAATTTTGGCTTTAGCTAAACACAAAAATGGCATTAGCTGCCAACTGACTCCATGCACACTTAGTTTCTGCAAAGTTACCAGACACTCCTCAGCTGCAGGAACCCTTGCAACAGTGACCCTAATTGACAGAAGATCTAAAATACTCTGTAGGTTTTTATGTTGATTATAACCTTATTTAACTATTGCTTTCTTTCGTGGAACAAAAAAACAATTTAAAAGAAGAAACTGCAGAAAAAGAATTTAAATTCCATCATGGAATAGCATTATCACCAAAGATTTTCTCACTAAAACTAAAGCTGTGTATCAGCAGCTCCCTGTTTATTCTACAGTCAGTCTTCCTATTAGAGCATTTAAAATCTCAATTTATATTTACTGTACAACCCAGGATGTTAGAAGATGTTGAAAGGCAGTGCTATTCTACAGTTACGATGTTCTTTGTGCCTAAACCAAAAATTATAAATTCCCATTTATCTAAAACTATAGTATTTCTAAAACTTATCCAGTCCATCTACTTGAGTTTTATGCATTTCTTCAAAATATCAGTCTATTATTTCTTCAAAGGTAGAATTCGAATAAAGCAATAAACAAGCAATTTTACTTAAATTAAATTTTAATGTGCTTGTGAAAATGACTGGATTGAAGGCTCTGGGCAACCAAGGCACCGGGTCTTACTCTGACTTCTCTCTGGTCATGGGAACACAAGTGAGGAACACCAGATTCCATCTCCATGTTACAAGAGGAGGCTTTGGCATCAACAGTTTCATTTTCTGAGAGAGAGCACTACTGCAAATATTTTAGTTTTTATGACCATGTGTAGCTCCATTTTCTAAACTACAAAACGAGGCACTTTAATTGATATGGCAGGCGGGCTGCATCCATTCACTTAAGCAAGTTACAAAGCATGGCAAATCTTGTTCACGAACTAGATTAAACCTAATTTGAAACTACAATGTAGAGAGGAAAATCTCCACAGTCTATACATTTTCCCCCTCACAGGCTTTATTTTAAATAATATTTACATTAACAGCCTAATTCTGAAATGCTCTTAAATGACTTAGCTGTCATAACCCAAAACCAGAAGCTTAATTCTTGTCCAAATTGTTATCATTTTCTACATTGTTAAAAATTAATCAGTTGCGATTGCATTAAACTCACTTAAATTTGCTTGCATTAAATTTTAAACAAATGATTGTGTTTTCTACTTTAGCCTAATTTTCATCTGAAATAATTTAATTGCTTTAAAAAATATTGTCCTGATTATCAGAAGCATTGATGGTTTTCCTAAAGTGTTGCATTGTCAGTCACATTTGTGCCTACATGCTCGACTACTAGGGAAAAAAATCTTTTCTTGTAATCATACAAAAATACCTCCATTATTATTCTGTGAAACAAGGTTTTAAAGCTTTGGCACATGACAAAATTCAACAAGACACACTGAGCTTTTTCTGATGTGATTCTTCCATGTGAAAAATACACTAATGAAGGATGTACTGAAGAACATTTGTTTTTTTCCTAAGAATTTTTTTTCAACGGTTTTACTTCTAAGAACACTGACATTTTAGGAAGCAGTTTCTAGTGTAACTGCCAATTCAAATACTAAATTGTTCTGTATTTTACTTTACAGTTCTTTTAATAAAATATAAAGATATATATTAGAAAGCATATTTATTCTTCTGAACATCTACTGAAATTCTAATAACCTAAATTCATAACTTTGAATATAATGGGCTACGACATCAAAACATATGGTTGAAAAAGGATGAGAAAAAGATTAAGAAATGTCAAAGACAAAAAGAACGTCTGCATAACAGGAAGACATGACATTTCCATCTTTATCAGAGAAGCTACACATGCCGAGATTTTTGGTGAAACGTGCTGGGTGATAAAAATTATGGAGGAGTGACAATGACAGGTTTCTTGGGGAGTTTATTCTAAGTGGTGTTAAGAATGCTGATGATCTTTGAATGATGTGTCATCAGGCAACACAACTGTGTGACAACTGTGCATCACACACACCAGTTTAGTGTTACTAAATTCAACCTGAGCCCAATTTATCAGGTGATGAGAACCATTGTTTTCTATTGTAATCACAACCTACATGTTCAAATTGTTATTAACAAATAATTTTGTAATTTTTATTTCATTTATGCAAAGTATAGAATTTGTTTGCTATGGGCAACATATTAGTTTGACATACACAGAAGTTGTACTTGTGCTTCACTACTTTACTTTGACTTTGTCAGAGGGTTTTTTGTTTTCATTTTTCATTGGCCAATTATTTCCAGTCCATGACCAGTTTAAACCATCAGAAAATGGATTTCAGGTAAGAGAAATTCTTTCAAAGCATCTATCAAAATGTATTATTTTTAAGATAAATTTATTTTGTATGAATGTGGTCAATCAAATCAGTGTAATTTAAAGCAATTATAATTGTAATTTAAAGCAATTGATGTGATGAATGTGTCAGATCTTTAGTCAGATCACTGCATGCAAGATGTGAGAAGGTGTGTTAATGTAATCAATGCCAAACAAGGCTATAGTATACATACCAAGTGATTTTACATGCAGGAAAGGAGCAGTTATGGAAATGAAACAAATAAAAAAGGCAAAATATTGCAAAACAAAATATTTTATTAGATGAAAACCAAACTATATGCAATTTATATTAGCTATATTACATCTTTATAAACATTAGTGAGCATTCTCTCCAAAACACATTAAGGCAGTGGCATCAAATCTCATTATCCCAAGATACAATATTTAAAAAATAGATACCTAAGTGACTTCCCTTAAACATGCACCAGACACCAGTAATCTTTACAGGAATTTCAGCTTGGGTTCAAACATAATTTCTGCTCCATTTGAGAGTTTGCAACAGAGAGAATCTCTTACTTCAAGCTCTAGCACTCTGAATTCTAACAGCTCATTCTGGTCTTTTGCATCTTGCATCTCATTCTTCAGCTGATGTTCTTCTTGTTCCATTCTGTAAATCTATGAGACGAACACAACACAGTAACACCCTGTAGAAAAGATACTGCACCAAGTTTAGACAAAACCTAATTATTTCAGTTTCTCGTTACACGTTGGGCCATGTCTTGCAGCTAAAGAAGGAACACCACATCAGAAAGTACTTTTGAGAACTGCCAGCAGCAAATGGTCAATGTTCTCTCAGAATAGTAATCTGGAAGTTGCATGAAAATTGATGTGAATACTATATCTGAATAAGTTAAGCAATACAAGTTTTCTTTTAAAATCAAGCAAATGAATCTGAATTACATTAACATTTGGGTAGACTGTTCTCATTGTATTTGCCTAACTAGACATCTATTATTTATAGTATATGAAAGACAATAATGGAGGGGTTTTAATGCCCACTTTTTAATTTTCCAGAATTGTGCTTTGGGGCACTAACAATGACAAAACAGAACTTCAAAACTGAATATTAATTATGCTGACTAATAGCCTTGGTCCACTGTCTAGTTTAACTGGGTGATCCTTTCTTTGTATGAAACTAAACAGAAGGGTAACATCTGCAATAATGCACTGCAACATTTATAATGCCCATGTAAGTGTCTGAATAAATTAAATCTGGCTTGGCTCTAGCTACTTTTAGACATGATTTTTCCTTTAGTTATTTTTATATTAAGTTACTAACTAATAAAATTAATCTTTGATTTCCTGAGTACTAGCTAACTTTCCCACTATTATCAAGGAAGAACAATGCAGATGCTCAGCTCTGAGTATCCCAGACTGTAAATACAATAAGTCTTAAATCAATCAGTATTACTTAAAGTGTAGAAAACCTGTAAAAAGTGGAAGGTTGAAGGGAACAGGCAATTTTGTTAATGATCAGGACAACAATAATCTTTGTGTAACTGTGTTTTGCTGGACATGAGAAACATCAGCCAGCTTGGGATCTACTGTTGGCCACAATAAAGAGCAACTTCAATTCCTGAAGAGTACAAAGGCATATTCGTACTTTAATCAAAGACTTTCATTTAAATTTCTGTTTCTGCCTAGAAATAAAGTAAGCAATTTCATGTTGATGTTCCAGTACTCAGTGCATTCAATGTCTTTTATAATAAAGGGCAGTAATGGTGAAAATATTCCCACATACCTTCTCTAGTAACTCCTGATTTGTTCTAATTAACAGCTGCTTTTCTTCTACCCATTTTGAATCCTATGAGGAAGAAGAGGATTAAATATATACATGTATATTTTGTTAAACAAGACAAATTAATGACCACAATAATTACAGGATTTCAGACATCATTGTAGATTCAAGTATAAAATGGTCACACATTGAAAAATAAAGCTATCATAAATATTTCAAGGATATATGGCATTTTATCCTACAGTAAAAATAAAAGTTTCTTCTGTTTGCTGTTGCAGAGTCTGTTTTTTTTCCTAATAAGCATATAATTATAATCTTTACATGTAGCAATTGTGGGAGACCACAGTTATACAATATTTTATGTCATTTTAAAAACATTTACTCAGCTGAACTCTAAACTATTTCCATTGCAAAGGTTTGGGAACTTTCTTGCAAAATCATCCCATTTTGAGTGGTGAAATGCAAATACTAAGGGAGAAAGGAAAGAAAAACATTAATTACCCCAAATGACTGAAAATAAGTTTCAGCAATATACAGATAATTACCCTCTGCCAAAAATGTGAGAATCTGGCTAATACATAGTGTTTGTGACAAGGAATTCAAAGCTGTGGAGGAAGGGAAGTGATATAAGATATTCTGTACTCCATTTAAAAAACCGTATTTCTAATTGATCCCTTGTTCCAAAGCTGATCTTTCCTTTTAGGTTTTCCCGTGGCTTTAAAAGGCCTCATCAAATATCTCTTTAAAAACTCAAGCTACAAAACCTCACTGCCATCCACATCTGGACATTCAGATTTAATGGATTATAACAGCCAAACTAGCTTTTTTTTGCCTGTAAAGAAAACTATTCACATAACCTTTCTCATGCTGCTTTAAGATGTTTAATAAAACAATATTCAACACATAAAATGCCATAGTAACTCTAGATTGAATTACCTCCTAGGTTCAAGGGACAATTTATTTAAAATCTAAATGCATTTACTTAAATATTAAGGATGATACCTTCTTTGTCAGCAAGGTATTTGTACATCGATGTTGCACAAGAAATCAATGAAATCTGGATATCTCAGCCCATGAAATAGCCTTGAAATGTCAACTAAAAAATCTGAAACATTATGATATATTTACTCCAATTAACTTTTTTAAAAAAAGTTTAAAGTTGATTTTTCTACTTATTGTCTAATATAGTTTCATATTCTACCATTTTTCTCCTTTTTCCACTCATAAGCAAGAATGCACAAGTGCTTTTTAATTTTCGTGGGATAAACAAGCTCTTCAGGGTTGTGGTGCTATAAGAATAACATACTGAAATGGGAACCAAAAAGGTATTGCATTTCTCAAGAATTTTTGAAGCCAATTAAAAAAACTGTTGAGAATAAAATCCAATATCTGCTTTAACATTTAACTGGCATTTTACTAAGGTCAAGAGTTGAACAAAGAGTTGCACACACAGGCTTAGGGTGAATATCTCAATGCATGGATATGGTAAAAGGCAGGTTCAACAGTTGCACCAGACCTGCAGGTTCAACACAAGTAGAAAAAACAGATTAATTTGCCCTATTGAAAATTAACTTTTGTTTCTTTCTTGATGAAGTCCAACTCGACTTTTTGAAAAAACCTAAACTCTGGAGGAATTCTACTTACACACCAGATCACAGAGAGTTGAACATTCATCCATCTGGCACATTACATACTCCAATAGTTTTAGATTTATTATTTACCACTATTAATATTTCATAAGAATGTTTTTCACTTAATATAATTTTTCTTATGTATGCACATCAATGTACCTTGCAGAAATGGATTATTAGTTTTGTTTTACTTCTGAGGAAATACTGACAGATCCAGTAGAAGAGGAATTAACAAGGGCTTTTGACAGCTACTTTGAAATTACACACAAATTGTTTTATAAACCAAGCTTCATATAATTTTTTAACAATAAGATTCTAATCTCCTGCTCCGAATTTGACTTCAGGAAAATTGTGAAGGACTTTTCTGCTTCTGTTCCCTAAAGGGGTAAAATAAGACTAAAATTTTCTGGGATAATACACTTGGAACTTCTGATTCATTGTTTCCTTTAAAAAGCACTTTAGGGACTGATTTCCCAGATGAACACTTCACAATTATTATTAAATCATCATCCCTACCATGACCATCTAAATGACAAAATAATAATAAAATAAATTAAAAAAAAAATCACATAGTGCACAAGGAATTCAGTTTATCATCACAACCATTTATTTTGTTGAATGTAAATACTAAGAGGTCAGGAGAACCAAGCAGGTGCTAGAGCTCCCAGGAACACACTGTAAACCCCTCTGTGCAAAGCTAATGCTCAGAGTACAAACCAGCCCACTAAAGACACCATCATGCTGCTCCCTGTCACATCCCTGTTCACCTTCTCAGAATTACTGAGAGATACAATGTTGAAAATGTGGTTCTGAATCTCAAAGTGATAAGTAATTAAATTCTAATTTCCAGGTATACCTTTCTGACATAACACTCTTGAATTAAAAAATCATGGAATTTCCTACACATGTATCCGAGTTCATTTATCTTACTTACATACACAGTACTTACATTATACACTGGAATAGTCAACTCTTTTGTTAACATTTTTGAGTACACAGCAATTGGCCCACAACACCTTTCTTGTCAACACACCAAAATGTCAGCAGCAGATCCTCAAGATGTTTTCTGTCTCATTCTTCCAGAAGCTCAGTGAGCCATTGGTTTTAGATTGACAACATATTCCCTACTTGTAGTAATATTGTATTTACATGGAATACACTAAGAAAATTGCAATTGGTGTGGAAGCTAGCATAAATTACTTTTGCCCTTAATTTGAATATGGTCCCCAAACCTTTGCATTTATACAGAATCTTACAGAAAATTTTTCTTACAAAGAATAAACCATAAAAATAGAGACATTATTCACTTAGCACTATTTGTAGATTGTTTTTGTTCAATGCTACAGGATTGAACAAATGTATCTATAGATAGCTATATCTTATTATCATAAGCAACCTGCAATTTTTAAATTCTTATTTCAAACAATAAAGTATAAAATAAATCTCCCCAACTTCTTCAGTGAATTCTAGCAGTTATGCAACTGAACGATTCACAAATGCATGCTCATAACTCTTAATCAGACTTTCTGAAGATACTAGACATTATTAAATATGCATCAGTAGTCACATCTTTGTCAAGTATTTACATACATTATATATACTGAAGCATAAGGCTTGCTTTTACTTTGTATGATAGTTTGGGAATTTGAAAGCAGTTGGGTTCTCCAGTAATTTAAACCCAGGAGAGTAACACCATGAGTGGCTTCCAGTAACCTGACACGCTCAGTGGTATATTTCTCTAGCATGTCTACAAGCTTGGGGTTTTTTAATTTTTCTGTGCTACTCATCAAAAATATTCTCCAGTACAAATATAGAGCATTTATTTTATTGGATTTTATAACAAATATTAACAAAATGGAAAACAGGAGAAAGGCCTTCGCCAAATGACAATGGGAACAGAATTTACAATGCATGTAGACTTTTTTTGATACTATGCTTTAGTACATTATGTGTTAGAAAATTAATCTATAATGACATTTTCTTAGGCTGTAAAATACTTCCCTTTACTTAAGCAATCTATTGCTGCAGTCGCAATTAAGCCGCATCATTCACACTAACACACCAGTAAGCAATGAAGATGGCAAGGGCACCACTGCAGGCAGCAGAGAAAATGATGTGGTAGAGGACATTAAGAGAGCCTTTTACCTGTCCTTTCTCGACTAGAGCTTTCTCCAGGTCCTCAATTTTTGCCTGACACCTGAGAAGATCAGCTTGCAGTTGTTCGCGAGTCTGGGGGGGAAAAAAATCAAAAAATGCGTGTGTGTGTGCAGGCACATGCAGGTAGACAGGTAGATTTAATTACACACAGAATCAAAGTAAAGATACTTTATACTGCTTTATGGGCTGTCCAGTCAGCTTTTAATGCTTTTCATTAAAATAACTGCTTTTGTGTTTATGTTACAAAATATTTAAAGCTGTCAGATTAACAGGATTTTTCCTTCCTAGCTTAGAAAGATGTTATCATCACACATTCAGTGACAAAGCTCTTCCCAGGGGGGAAACAAAAACTTAGGAAATGAAAAAGCTCTAAGAAGCTATTCATAAGCTTTAGTAATTCAAGGCATTGGGGAAAAAAGGGACAAGGGAGTAAGAGATCTGTATTAAGAACTGAAAAACGCCTTTAGGTAAATAAAATATATTGATGCCAAATAATTTATATATCCCATACATAAGCATACACTGGTCAGTTCTCCTTGTTCTACTTAATTATTACATTAACTATTACACTACAGTAGGTATTACTCGCTGAGTCCAGTGATGCCTTATAAGGAACTGGATCATAAAAGGTACCAAACAAAACAGATATAAAACAACCTGTTTCCAGAGACCCTCAGTCACTGAGGTTCTTTGAGCTACTGCAAGTACTTTTCCCACCCTATTTCAGGTAGTTTTTCACCCAAACAGTTAAAAAATTCCCACGAGGATTTCCTTCTACGTCTTTGCATCTTTGGGTCCTTGTTGTTCACCTTAAGCCTCATCTAAAAATAACAGGAAATGTTCATCCCACAAGAACACTGGGTCCTACAAAATAAATCACACAAAAAGCTACTTTCTGACTCACTCAAAAGATGGATTTGGAAGGATATGACAAAAAAGACCAAAACATCACTAAAAAGAAATAACAATAATTTCCAAGTCTACAAAAGGGACAATTTGCATATGCCTACAAAACAAAATTTTAAAAAAGCCCATGAAGGCAAAGGAAATACATAATGGCCTCTCCTAAGTGTCAAATACATGACTGTCCCTGAAATTGTACTTTAATAATAAATGGAATTACGTCCTCCATCCCTATTTTATCTTGAGAAGTGATCTCCAAAGTCCTTATTGCTTTCCTTGGCTAAGTGTCCTACTTAAAAAGAAAGTGTCATAAGTGACTAGGCATTTGTAAGATGCTGAGAACTCTAACAAATAAAGCAATAATTTTACTATTATAAGAACTATATTTCACAGGGGAAATAAAAAAAGGAAAGAACTTTAGAGCCATTACAAAGAACCTTGAAAAAAAAAAAACACAGAAAAGCTGACATATTTTAAAGTAAACCCTGAATCTTCTAAATTCAGGCTCTGAGGGTAATAGGCTAACATTTATAGCTGTAAACAACTCCAGATAATGTCAAGTAGTCTACATTCTTCTGTAATTTTACCTTGAAAGCTTTGCTTATTAACACAGAAATTCTGTTCCCACAAGCATATTGTTTCTACGCATGAAAATATTCAGTAAGTGGATTTTAAAATGTTCGCAAGAGAAAAGGATGTGGATAATACAGTGCATATGTATGCCTAATAACTATTAATACAGAATTTTGTGAATATTTTATTAATTGTTTTTAGCAGTGGAACAATTAAGCTAGTGGCAACTCCTACCATTAAATTGTTCTTTCCCACCAGTAACTTTTAAACCACATTAAAATGCCTTTCTGCATTATTAGCAACATGTTGCAGTGGTACAGTACAGTGTAGGCCACATGTGGCAAGTCAGTAACATGTAATAATTCATAGTATTTCACACATTTCTCATTTTGGGGGTTCGAGGAAGTTGTAGGGGGAAGGAGGTTAGTGGTTTTTTAATGCTTAAACATTTTTTAGAATTACACTCTCATTGAGGTTCGATCACCTGGCCAATCTCTGTGCTCAAAGCTGGTTCCATCTTCTTTACTCCCTCCCTCAGGCATTTACCCCTGAGCTTTCTTTTACCCAGACTGAATAGTCCCAGCCCTTTCAGCCTTGTGTATCAGGTTCTCCAAGCCCTTAATCATCTTTGTGATTCAGCACTCCAGACATCACTCAATCATGAGTAGAGAGGAAGGGTCACCTCCATTGGTCTGCTGGGGACTTTCTTCCTCATGCAGCCCAGGAGGCTGCTGGCCCTCACTGCTGCAAGAGCACACTGCCAGCTCATGTTCAACTTGGTGTCCACCAGAAGCTCCCACTTTATTTTGTGCAAAACTTCTTCCCAGAAAGCCAGCCCCAAGTCTGTGCTGGCACATGGAGTTATTCTTCCCCACAGTTTTCCTTCTCTTGGTTGAATTTAATGAGATTCCTCTTCACACATTTCTTCAGGCAGTTAAATGGTTCCTCTGAATGGCAGCACAACCATCTCATGTACCAACCACTCCTTTCAATTTTGTATCATCTGCAAACTTGGAGGTGAAACACCTCGAGCTGAACTTTCTGCCACTGACCACAACCCTCTAAGCTATTTCAGTCAATATTCAGTCCATCTCACTGTCCACTTGTCTCCTGTTGCCTTTCTTGAAGACAAGAGTGACATTTGCTTTCTTACAGTCCTCGAGAACCTCACACAATTGCCATGACCCTTCAAAGATAACTGAGCCTCACTCTGTAAGAGTGGCCTTGCAATAACATCAGTCAACTCTCTCAGTAGTCACTAATCTACAATTTCATGCTGTACTTCATGCAGAATGAAGGACATCAGGTGAAGATGATGAAGTTTCCAGCTCTATAGCTATTTATTGCCCATTTGGATTTTATAAGTTCTTTAGTCATTGATCACAATAGTTATTCAAGCAGAGGGTGACTTGCAAACATGCCACAATTCTAGACATGCTGCTATCTGCAAGGAGTTGAAATAAAGTAGAAGTTTTGCTGCTAGTTAACTCAGTTATTTTTTTTGATGCCACTTCTGTTCACTGAATAGATCTGGGGACTGAGATAAAGCTCACCAGCTCATTATGAAGTTATTTTGCTCATCTCCAGTTTGGAAAAAAAAGAACGGAAACTGCTAGCATGACTTCTGCTGACCTCACCTCTGCACCACTAAATGGTAAAACACAGTGGTGGCAGAAGGGCAAATACTCTCTCACACCTATAATGCCTACAGTACAGAGATTAGTGCAAAAGTAAAAACATTTATTTCAGAGAGAGTAAACACACATGCTGATCCAATAGCAGACATAGTTAGCTAGGTACTTTCTGGTGAAAGAATACTCTCAATCTAAGACTTTAAAAAACAAATTATGATTTCATATATTCAAAAAAACACTTCAGTAAAAACTATCTTTTTCAGATTTGGGTCATATTTTTAATATATGATGGAAGTACCTAAGTACTTATAACAACCTCTCCTGCAATTCATTTAAAACCATCATGTCACTATCCAAATTGCGGGTTCAACCAGGATATCACTCTCAATAACACTGTCTTACTACTGAAATCTGTAATAGATTATCCATGCAAGAATAAAATATGACATCTTTATTCTGATTACACCAGATTACTCTAAATTTTTGCCTTAGTGATGATATCCTCTAATCCTCAAAAACATTGTGCTTTGCATTTCAGTGACCTGCAAAAATACCTCCTGCTGTTACAAGTTGTTTCAGCTTTTTTGATTATTTCAGAGTTAAAGGAAATTCAGTTAAAAAATTACCCTTGCTTCTCTCTCTGCATCCAGGGTTCCGCCAACTTGCTCTTGAAGCAATGCATATGCTCGTTGCAAAGCTTGATACTCTCTTGTTAGCTGGCAGAACCTTAGTTCAGCTTCTTCTTTAGGTGTGCTCTTAATGAACAGGGGGAAAAAAAGTGGGTTTGTATAAATATATATAATGGGTTTGTCTATATAGACAGATAGACTCACAAACATAACAAGCAACATAACTCATACTGAGTCTCAGTTTGATAAGGGTTTGAAATCCTGAAAAATGCGGAAAAGAAAAGAAGGAAGGATGATGAGTAATTGTCTTTACACACAATTTCAGGACACTGTACGTTACTATATAAGGCAGCAATGTATAAAAATGGGAAAAAACTGTCTGGGGAAAGATGAGAGAAAACAGTTTTATTCACCACTCTCTTCAGCAACTCCAGAACCACAGGAGTTTCACAAGGGACTCATGCAGTCCATCCCTCCCTCCTTACACTTTTTCTCTGCAGTGCCAGGGTAAAGCACACTAACACAGAAGTTACATTTTAAAAGCCATGTTTCCTTAAATTTATTTTTTTAATGTGAAGTATTTTTAAAATCTTGATCTCCTTTGGATTTTGAGCAACTGACTTGAACACTTACAAGGTCTTTCCTATAATGTTGAGGACAAGAAATGTCCTTCCCTTTAATTAATTTTTACTCCAGAAACTTGAGTTCCAAGGAAAAGAGATTACAATATTATTAAATATTAAATCTAGAAAAAAAGGAAGCTCCTTTTGACTGAGGAGCATTAGGCACACAAGTTAGGTTTATAAGTTAGTGAACAAGAAAGAAGGATGAAAAAGAGTATCTAATTCATGCTTTGTCCTCATGCCCGCAATCTTCTAAAGTAGGCCAGCAGCACTGTATATCCCAGAGCTGAGATAAAACATGTCAGTGGGTATTTACTACCTATGATCATTTAAGTCTTCATGAATTGCAAAAGCCTCTCTGAGCATTATGAGCAAAGAAAGAAACTCCTGGTTGTATCAAAACAGTCAAATAAATTATAAGGTTGAAAAGCAAACTATTGTCTAAGAACTATTGACTTTTGGCAAAGCAGTTTGCCTATTCATTTTCTTTTGACTAATAACAAAGAGTTTGAGAAAAACAATTTTATTTCTCAGCACAATATCTGCCAAATCTGTCAGGCAGAATATTATCTTATTAATTCTATTGTGAAGTGTATATGTTACTGGACTTGAAAAAAACCAAAGGATTTCTCTGCCAAATCTTTCACAGTTCCTGTGGAACAACAACTGTAAAAAAGTTTACATTTATAGTTGTGTCTATTTTTTATAGAACTTAAGAACAAATCAGTACTACTTACATCTTCCAAATCTTCTTCTGGTGTTGCTGGTGTCCTGTCTGTTTTATCTGTGTTGTATGAAGTTACAGATGACGTTTCCGAATCAACAGATTCTTCATCAAATCCAAAAAATGTCTCCACAACATGCCTCTGAAAAATTAGTTTTTTTCAGTTACTAGCAAAACAGCTGGAAAATCCCAATGATTCAAGGTCTTCTTTTTTAGTATTTAGGAGGAAAAAAAACTCCATTGTAAACTCTTGTTCTCTGATTGAACGAGCTACGTCTTCAACATCATTTGTGTAAGAACCTCCAAGAACTGAACTGCATGTAGTACTGGGTAATTGCCAATAGAATAATGCTTTAGGAAAGCCATAAAAGCTAGTTATCAAAACAGGTCTTACAAGATTCACAGTAGAGGAATGCAATATCTATTCAGAAGAAAGCAAGTCAGTACGATGTAACATATAAGACATGTAACCAAAAGGAAAAAAATATTCTGGGGATCAATGTGGAACAAATTTAATTGTTCATACTAACGGTAAAAAGAGAAGACAGATTAACTTATAATATCTGTTTTGCAAACTCCTACTTAAAAGTATAAACTACTGCTTACCATTTATTTTTTCAATACCATCATTCTCAATTCTTTCAAAGAGTTTGCTCCAGTATTAAGACTAATCAAAAAGACATGCCTGGGGAAAAACAGCATTTCACTGGAGATTTTAAGAATTTTACACATTGTTATCAATTACATGCATGCTTACAGAAAATTAAAGAAAATGAGTAGTCAGTGGAAGTGAATAGTACAATATTAACTGTGAAAATGTGATATTTTATATAAAACGTCACTATTTTAGGAGTTTCCCTTTCTGTCAATTTCCTAACATGTTCAGAAAGCAGAAAAGTTCCATGGAAACGCCACTGGTCAAAAAAAAATTTACTTATACATTTAATTAGAAAAAACCAGGTTTTCAAGTATTTTTCCTTTCAAAATAGGAAACATTAAATGTTATTAGAAAGTACAACTTTTTACACCACATAAGAATTCTAATGATCCAACACAATTTCAGAGTAGCAAGAAAATTAAGAAAATTTTTTAAAAGAGTGTTGCTGGAAAAATGGAGTCAGGTTATGAAGCATCCTAGACAGGATGCTAGTGGAGAGAGGTGGTTGTAAGAAGATGAAGAAAGATCTGTCTATCCATCTCTATATTTTTTGCCACTGCTTGATGCTGAGTCACATATCTTGATGTTCCAGTTTGTTATTTGTTTTTTTTTTAAAACATACAGGTTGTATGTAAGAAGAGAATACTTTGTTCATTAAAAATGCCTAAAGGGTGAAAAATGTTATCAGTTGTTTTTCCAAACATCATGAATCCTACACTTCAGCAAAGCCAAATTCACTGAGTGGAATTCTGAGCTATAAATTTAATTCAAGGTTCTGAAAGTTTTTATCTGTAATGCTGTATCTCATGATAAATTCCAAATATTTACTCTTGCCTACCACCTTCTAGACTTATCTAACTTTAGAGACTTTTCTAGTATGTCTACATAAATACTGTCTTCACAAAGCCCTGTAATGCTTACTGTATTCTTTTAGCTCAGCACAGGTCTCATCAACAGCCAAAATACTCTATATTGATTTAAGTAGTACCATAAAATCAAGCTTATAGGTGTGACTTTGTGCCAGCATGCATGACACCATGTGCTCCATTTACAGTCTGCAGCCCTGGTCACCACGGTCCACCAGGTCACAGCCTCATTACTCATAAGCTGAACAACCCCATAATAGTTTCACAGCACAGCTTATTCCACTCCAACTGCCACGGACAGCTCCAAGACCCTGTTCTGAATCACTTAATTGCTTCACTTAAGATGAGCTCTTCTATCAGTATTTTAAAAATTTCATTCAGACCATGTACTTAAATGAACCAGTTCTAATAAAATCTCCTCTTGAAAAGATGTTATGCACTCAAAAAACGCACAAAAACCCCAAAAGCCACAACTTTTCTAAAGAGACTATGCTTATCCATATGCATGCATACAAAAATGATGCGGCACAAAAGGCAAAGAGCTTCCCAACAACCTTTAGAAACAGCAAGCTGCTAGATGACTACTTTGTGCACTCAGAAGAAAAGGATTGTAGTTATAGTGCTACAGTGCTGCAAAGACAAATTATCCTTTTCTCAGTTGTTTAGGAAGCACTGTGATCCTTTCAACAGGCTATGTCTAAGATGCTTAAGACAAACAGTTCCCTGGGATAATTCAATCCTTTCCTCCAGCATTCATCAGTTTACCTTTCTGTCCTACTTAACAAAACAAAGGACACAGGGAATAGGTTTAAGCCATATTCTAAAAATATAAAGACTTATCCAGAAAGTTAATGTGTTCTCTCACACTTGAATTACAAACATTTCAGACTCCTCTTTCGTAAGTACAAAGGTTTGCCACAAAAACAGAGGTGCAATTAGTCCCTGAGAGATGGCCCATACAAAATTTCTCCTGCACTGAATACTGGTTGCAGCCCACAACCATCTAAGAGTAACACTACAAATAAATACTGAAAGTTGAAAATAGGGGTAAAGAAATGGTGCTATCTTCAAGTTGTAAGGAAGACAAATTTACAATACAAGTTGCAAGCTCAACTCACTTTTTTGACTCCAAACTGATCCGCACATACAGTTTCATAGAGATGAAGCTAGATTTTATGAAGGTAAAGAAGATGGTGGAAGGTAAACAAAACCCCAGAGATTTCAATGAAAACCACATCCTCACTTTGCAGTGCAGATACGCTTTACTCAAAGATATTGAAAGCAAACCCGGAACAAAGCTTCATACAGACTCTTACGCTGACTCTTCTACATCCTGCTCTTCTGCCCACATCTGCTTGCCTGTGGATGGAGCTCAGAACCACCATGTGCTTTGGAGGAACCCAGCCAAGGACAAACAACTCAGACAACAGAAGAACAGCTGACCCTGCTCATGCCTCCTGCTTCAAGGGTGTTTGGCCTCAAAAATGACAAAACTCCAATTTATTGTCATATATATGGCACAGAGAACCCAGTACCATGATGGTCAGGAGCAGCTCAGTTAAAACTGACAATTAGACCTACCATACCTGTGGGGTATTCTTGCTATACCTCTGCTATACAGTCACTTAGGTAACTCAGGTTAACTATATGTCTTCCTTTCATCCTGCAGGCACACATATGCTGTTCCAAGGAGTGAAAATAAAATAGCAAAACAAAAGTGGCTTTGATTTTATATAAAGGTATACAGGTTTGAGAAGATGCTGAAAACAATGACATTGCTGTGACAACAGATACTTACCTGTCTTTAAACATTTCACTAGTAGCAAAAGGAGGGGGAAATAATTTGCATATATAAATAAATAAATCACTTGATCATTAGATGTGAGGGAATTATGAAAGAAAATTTGTATTTCCCATCACACTAAAAAACCTCAACACTCAAAGGAGAGTTAAAAGTCAAAACCTGTTAAATGCTATACAGACTGCCTATAATATTTGGAGTTACGAGTGAACCACTTTATTTATTTTTAATGATTCCTTCCTTTTTAGAGATTCTATACATTTATCACTTTTTGGAGCAGACACTTTCCATGGCATTAGAGATAAGGTATTCAGCCATTGTATATTTCTTGCACGTGTATGAATTGCTTCTTAACACAATTACAAAAAAGCAGTGCTTATTGTTGATCGTCTAGTATCTGAAGTAACTAGTTACAAGAACTGATTTACAGCAAAACCAGAAATTAAGCAAAACCTTGCCAAATTAACTGGCAAGGGAACAGCTGCAGAGAGAGAAAAAACGGGAAAAAAAGACGTCTGAGTCATACAGTTGTTGACAAACACTGTAATAAATACTAAGGCATCAATAAATACACCAACTCCAAGGTATATTTCACACATGGTTCAAAAGCTTAATCACAATAATCTTTGAAAAGTATATAGAAACGCACTATACTTGGATTTTTGTAACTATAAACTATGTAAATTCAGGTTTCATTCAAACTTTTCTTAAAAGTTTCTCAACGACTTAGAGATTCTTTTATATTGATTTGTTATATACATTTGTTACTTCTAAATCATAAGTTCTTAACTGAGAAAATAGTCATGTAAATTACTGAAAAATTCTGATTTGAATTCTAGTTTCCACCGACTACTGCCATGCATTTAATAGCAAGTATTTTTCATGTAGATTTATATCAGTGCTTTCACATAATTTTAAAGTAAAATTATGCATTAGGCTTTTTAACTCAAGTATTAATGCTTCTACTGAAGTATGGTGCTCAGTAAACATCAAAGTTTACAATGCTATAAATCAATAGTGACACATAGACTGCACTATATGCAAATTTCAATATAATCTGATTTCTCTGTTGCTAAAGTAGTTTCATTTTACATTTAAATATCTCATTTTCGAGTACTTAATTGAACATGATAAAAACGATCTGAGATATATTTCCTTGCAATGCAACCAGATTTGCTACTCAGTAACTTCTTACCTTCATGCTTATATGTCATTTCTTGGCAGCCAGAAAAATACAGGCACACCAAAGCACAGAGGCAGAGAAAAAAAGAAAAATATAAAACAAGAAATATGAACCCCATCACACTAGTGTGCAGGCTTTCCACTACCATGAATACAGTTTATTTATTAAAGTTTAAACAAAGACATAAATCCGTAGAGTCCTGCACTTTCCAAACAAGCTGGGCAAATATGTCTTATTTTAAATGCATGACTCCATCAGTCATGAAATCACTGTAACTCCATTCTACATGTCAAAAATAAACAAAACATAAAAAAATACTGTTTCTGAAGTTTCTTAGTTATTTCACCACAAAAAAAATGGGAAAAAAAGAAGCTCCTTGAAAAAAAATCGTGCTTTAAACAGCAAAAGATTCACCTGGTGAATCACAATTTTTTTCCTAGCAAGTCCAATGGCCCATTAGTATAAAAAAAAACAAATAAGCCTCCACCAGTTTAGGCTGCTTCACCTCAGAAAAAACTGTCCTTCAGTACCTGACTATACAGAGTTGCTACATTACTCCTCTAAACACCCTGCAAGCACAGAGGTTATAAAGCCCATCCCACCTGGCTGCTCCTTTCCTCAGGGAACCAGAGCCAGTTGCCAGCACTGTTGCATGGACTCCTATGCCCCATTGGGAATTAGAAGAGTGCTCAGTCAAAGCTACACTAGCAACAGTAACCTAGTGCGCCTACAGAGCTCCAGAAATAACACAGACATCTAATTACAAGAGCAAAAAACGAAACAAAAGCATAAAATTAAAATTTTCAAAATCTTTTCAGCTGAACTGATGTTCAGGGCTGTAAAGGCTACTGGACTGGCCTGGCAGATCATTCACTCAAGCTGTCTCAAGGATGGAGAAAGACATGCCATGGATCCTGTTCCAGGTAACAGGAATCACTGTCAGGAAAATACTCATATTAGGAACAACCACAGCACTGTGCAGTCAGAGCACCTCAGAGATGAAAGAAGTGGAGTGTAGAAGTATCTGTTTAGGAGAAGCTGCAACAGTAGATGAGTGCAAATCTTCACCCTGTGTGCCAAGTTCCTGGTTATTAGAACAAAAAATGAATCTTTCTATACCTTCCAGTTTGAGCTTATCTGACCACTTTCATGAAATCTTATTCTCATGAGTTATTTCATCTCTCAATTTGCCAAGGCAAGTGGGACACATCTGGAAATAGATACAACTCCACAGTCCAACTTGATAATTCACTGTTAATGCTAATTTTGCATTTCACCATCCTTAGAAAAGCAAAGCCAAAGATTTAGATCAGTAATTTCTTATTCCAAGTGTTTGGCTGGGACAGATACATCCATAATTTCGCTACTATTCTATACAGGTTATATCATCTTATGTTATAAAGATATTACACAGACCATAGAAAGAAATACACTTATGCTGTGCATGTCTATATATAGAGCAACTCATCTTAGACTGCTTTTATAATCCATGGAGAGAAACAGGCAATTTTAGGACAAAATTCACACGGCCTGTTTACATATCTACTTCCAACCATTTAATGCTAACATTCTGCCCAGAGTGAGGTGTCTGTATCTCACGTCCGTTAATGACATATAACAAACATTTGCAATGCTTGGTTAAATGAATTCTACCATTTTCATCTGGATTCTTGAAAGAGGCTACAACAATGGAGAAGATGATGGTACAATCTCAACAGCTCATCTGAGTAAGAGATGAGCTCATTCTACAGAGATTGTTTAAAGAAAAAACTGTAGGAAGATTGTGGTACTGATTAATTCATTCTTTCTGAAGTATCTATCATATCCTAAATAAGAAGCACACCCCCACTAACTCTGCTGCTCATTCTGCAGTAAACTCTGCAGAATTCCCCCAATTATAGTACTCTCAGCACAAAAAGAACAGCACTGCCACAATTTTTTTAATGGTATCATGCACATTCTCTCCAATCCTCATGTTGTTCAACTCTTGTTTTGTTCAATAAGGAAAAGAAGACACAACAAAAGCATCAGGTTACTCAAGACAAAAAGGTAAAAGGAAAGGGTACAGAGTCTATGTCAGCTGAAGTTCTATTAACACAGATTTTTAAGATATAAATGCATAGTTACTGAAGTTTCAGCCTATAGAAATCAGCACCACCAGTTATCAATGTCTAAAAATTAAATTAATGAGTTCATTTAATTAGGAACTTCACAATTTACCAAAAGATCCTACACATTTAACTTAAAGTCAGATAAAAGCTAACTATTGGAGAGGACTATAAAAAGTACAGCATAAGTTACATACATATATATAAATGATTTAACATACTTTTTTTAAAATTGATCTCAACACACAAATTTACAGTTATACTACACCAAGAAAGAATGGTTTATGGTTGCTGCAAGTATATTTGGCAAGATCTGTGGTTACTTTTGAATTTTTCTTTTTTACCATCTAAAAGACACACCATTATTAGAAGAAAAATTTCAAGACATTACCAGTGGAACAGAGAATCCCAAAGAATGCATTTTTCAGAGTACAGGCATTAAGAGAATGCAGAGCAATAAAAAAGCACCACCTGGACATTACCAGGAATAGACTGTGCAGAACACACTGACAACAGGCACCCATTTATGACATGTAAGCTACCATATAAACTATAATGATATCTCCACTCTTCACTTCCATTTTTTCCCTCTTAACCCCATTTCCCTCCCCTCACATGCTCCAGGTTGCTAATGTTCAACTTCACAAAAAAAATTATTCAGCAAATTAATTACTTTAAGTACATGTTACAATAAACATTGAAGGTACATTCCAAAGCAAAACTTTCCTGTTTCTACAATCTAAATTTTTCTCTTGTACTTTGTAATCTAGAGTAGAGTCGTTGGAATCTTCTTACTATTTATATATCACATACAAAAATATGAGTTCAGTAACATCCCTAGCATGAGTCAAAGTTTTCCACTGTGATTAAGCACTATGTTGGTAGTTTAAAGGGTGTATGTTCTTGTAAAAGGACTGAGCATTTGTCCTTTGAAATGTTTGTTGTTTCAAGTCGTTGAGTCATTTAGGCCTTAAGCCACTTGAATATTCAGGCCACAGTGGCTAAAAGGGTAATTTTACTGTTTGCTTAAAACAAACCCCAAAACAACATCACTTGTGTGCAGTACAACACTTGCAGCTCCTGAATTATCCTAAAAAAATTAAGCACTCACCAGAGAAAACAGAAGAATTATATGGTTTTTTCCCATTAAGTAGAGCTTTAAATTCAGGCGGTATTTGAAACAGGTGTTGTTCACAACAACAGAAATGCATTAATAACCGAAGGTTTGCTCACCTTTGGAGGCTTCAGACTTTTCCTCCTCTGTTTTTTAGACCGCAATAACCGTTCTCTTTCCTAGAAGGAAAGAGAACATTTTGGTATGGGTTTGTTTTAAAACTATACTTAGATATGTCTAACACAAAGAAATGTCATTAACATTTTCTTAAAGCCTATGGTAAAGCTAACGCAATGTCTTTATCCTTTTGAATAACTCCGTGTTGATAGAACACCACCCTGTACTGCAGCTTTATCCCTGTAGCAAACAAACCTTCAGCCATATCCTTCAAGCATTTGATGGGAAGTTGGCCAGAAAAGGCTTTGTTAAATACTGGGCACAGATTTCTGAAAGTTCCTTTGACTCTTTTACCAAGAAGCTCACTATGGAAACAGAATTCACAGTCTCACTCCAGTGTTCAATCATCCTGAAGAAGCAGGTCTGTAGCCAAAAATTAGTCCAGTCTTAGTAATTACAAGTCATTGTATCAGGCATACTCTGATATTCGAGCACACATAAGCAGTGTTATATGTGACTTATCCTTGTAGGGCAAAAGTCTCAAATCCAAAGACATTCTCAGTCTGTCAACTTAGTGTCTTTTTTCTGGCGAGACTTTGGCGCAAGTTCACAATTAACTATACCATAACACGAGGAGGTTGTGACTGGAAATGCAAGACTTATGTATATCTAAATCCAAGAATACTGCCTTGAATTCCAAAGAAGAGGAAGAAGAGAAGGTAAAAAAAATGCAAAGGAGCAAGCAAAAAACCCCCAAAACACAGGAGGCAGGTGCTCTGTCTTCTTGGTTTTTTCCTGATTCTTTCCTTAGCTCTGCATCTTTGTTTGCAGCACCTCTGTTTTTGAAAGACTGATTGCAGTTCCAAGTGCTTTGCTAGCAGTTATTGCTCACTACATGGTATTTTTCTATTCAGAGTTATTTGCTTCACATTCAGTTCAGAAACTGGACAAATAAGAAGCTCCCAGTGGAAAATACAATACAATTAATTATCAGCACATTGTTCCAGGAATTAAGTTTTGGGAAAAAAAAATAATTGAGAAAAGCACAGCAACTTATATAGTATCTTGAATACATGTGGTTTGAAAAATAGGAAAAGTAATGATTACTAAGGTAGAATGGTGCAGGTATATCATGCTGTAGAATAATATAACAATTTAAGCTAAAGTCGAAATCAGACAGTTGAATTTTATACTGTTGAACAAAAATCCTGTCTTCTCAGGTACCTAGTTAAGGCATGTTAACTAGGGTCTCCTGCCTCCCAAGCAGGTGTCCAAACAGATGGATTTTCCTCTCATCTCACTTCAGTGCAGAATGAACAAACACTTCCAAAACTCCAGTCCTTCCTGTTTCTAATCTTGTTTGTAAGAAGACTGATTAGTTTACTATCTCAATAATACATCAAGCTACCAGAACAATAATAATGCCAATTAAAAGCCACCCGCATATTTTGCAGTCATCTAAGTTTCCCTTGATAGCTTTCCTTTTAAGAATTAACCAGAACACCACTATTGTGGGAGAACTCAAGTTGGCATGGTTTCAACAGCATCAAAAGTATCCGACAGAGGACACTGTTAATCAGTTCAGACAACCCTATTGCCTAAGACTAATGTTCTTATTTCTCTGTATCATATTGGTCTCAGCTGGAGTTAAGCTGATGATTTTTATACTAATCAGGTATGGGACATTTGAGTCATTCTTGATAACTATGATACATTCGTATTCTGTAGAGGCGCAGTTTGGGTCAGAAATGATAGCTCAAAAGCATAATGAAGTGCAGAATTCCACTGCATTCACATAGAAGGCAAAACCTCAATTAGTTCGTACTGCCAACCAAAGCAGTACCCTAGTTAATAATTTTACTTATTTCTGCCAGTGGAATAATATCTGTAAATAGGAAAAACAGCAAAAATGAAACCATAGTTTAAAATATTTATTTATTTTACTTTCACACTAAACACAAGTTAATACTATTTGACCAGTCAGGATACATTATATTTCCTCACATCACTATCTGAGACAGTAAAAAGAGAGTCCTTTCATATCCACTTTACACTGAAATATAAGAGAGGTTATATCTGCCATATACTGCACATTTAATATCATATCATGGTCCCTGCCTGTACAGTTGTATTTGGAAGGCAAAGCAGCACTGCTTTGTGAACTAGACCCTACATCAGAGCTTCTGAGTAACATCCTACTGCTTGGAACACTGTGCCACTGGAGAATGAACTCAGACATCAACTTTTGGCACTGATTTCAGAGAAAAATCCTGGGTCAAAATCTCAGGGAACTGCCAAGAATAGAGACAATGTTCCAGATACAGCAATAACACATCTTGTTGTTTTATCTTTTTGGATCCTCTATTTTTATCTTCAAAGCTGCATCCAATTGTTTCATTTTCTATTTAGATAGAATGCTCTTAAATTCTTTTTATCATTTTGTAACTGCCAGAAGTGCCATTTGAGATGTCTGAGTCTGCCTGAGTTCCAGATGCTGCTCCAGAAGGGCAAAGGTCTCAGAGATGATATAGAATTTCTGCCAGCACCAGAAAGGGATATCATAAATTGCACTTAATAGCACTAGACACCTCTAACACAACTTGAAACATTCCCGATCAAATAGTGCAAACATCTATGAGCATCACCTTAAGAAACCTTCAGAGTCAGAAGGCAGCAGCTGTGCAACTCTAACGCTAAATTGTGCCGCTACCTTTGGTTTGATGAACAGTGCATATTTCTCCCCATTTGTTATAAGGACAGCCAGTGTGGCCAGCTCAGTTAGAGATGCTTAGCCAGGGGAAATTATTGCCATCATGCATGCTCCTTTCTTTTAGGAGAAGTTCTAGTGCTTGGGTTTGCATCAGGATTTATATCCAAGACATTTTAGTCATTAAGTTTTGGAAAGTGTCCTTTCCTCAAGTTTCTCAGTTGTTGGCACCCAATTTGGCAAGTAAATAATGGAATGATGATGCACTTTCTTCATGAGCAGCTCATAATAAGTAAATACTTTATAATACAAAAATTCATACACATTCCAAAGAAATTCATTCACTACCTGAGAAATAACAAGAACCCTTTGACACCAAAAAACTATTTCTGTATTACTACTACAACTGGACTTAAGACATTCATCTCACATCTTTAGCTTGCCTATAGATGTGTGTGCATGCACATGTGTATACCAGTCATGAACATTACCACTGTGAGATCATCAATAACATGCTGTTGTTCTTTGACTTGCAGTCTAAGGAACTCAATTTCTTGTTCCTCTCGTGTGCTGCTGAGATCATTCAAAGATGTGTGCCTCTTCAGCGCTGGTTGTGCAGATAACTTCTCTTTCTACAAAAAAAAAAAAAAAAGTAAAAGAATATTTTAAAGTGTCTTGCTGTAACTAGAGAAAAATTCTCAGGTGTGATGTAGCAATCAAGAATTCTTTGGATTAATCAGTGCATACTCCATTACAACACAAGGCCTCTTTCAACCAAAAAAAATACACATTCTGTATGCCTTAGTGTTAATCTCTCACATAAAATATTTTAAAACAGAATCAAAGTACACAGAAAAATTAGCAGAGAAGTGAACTCAATGATCTAGCATAGTACATGCACTCAAATTCAGTTCTGATCATAAAAGCTTCTAATCATAAAAGCAGTATTTATTAAAGCAGATTTTTAGTCATAACTTTTTATAGCCTGCAAAATATTTTATCTATCTGTGATCCTTTTCCTTAATCACTGTGAATTTATACAACACAAAGCACATGCCACTCTGAATTTAGAATATGAATATTCAGCTCCATTGTCTGTATTTGACAGTTGCACCATCCCACTGTGGAGACTGATCTGTTTGAGTTGGAATAAAAGCCTCACAGGCACTTCCACCTCAAAGTAGATGTGTGCAATGTGTTCTTATAACATGACATCAGAGACAATCACTTACCAGTTCTACATTTTCCCTTGATAGATTTTTTATTTTTTCTTCCATTCTCTGGATACTTTGCAACATATCATCATTTTTTTTGCTCATCCTCTTATTTTTTTCTACCAAAGGCTTCAGCTGACTTTCTGTCTCCCGAGAACGTTTCAGCTGTACATGGCAAAGGAACAAAGTTAGCTGAGCTTTAGTTTACCATTGCAGGAAAGAAGAAATAGCTGTGGTTTCACTTGCCTTTCTTCATTCGGAAAGTTTAGCACTTTTGCTAAGTGGCATCTGATATAGACTACTGCTGAACTAGGAACTACAGGAGTCCAAACTAATAAGGCATGGCCTTTTTTTACAGTCTACCAAAACACTAGATCTGGTCACTGAATTTTTCTCTTGGCAGACACTTATGATGATCCGTAACAGTGATTTCTTTACAAACTAATCTCAATGTATATAAGCTTCTTGTGACCAACTAGGTCTCTAAGCAAGTTGTTCCCACCAATTATCCCTCAGTAGAAGGACACTCTTCCTTCTCTTCTTTAAAAAAACCTTCACCTAATGTGTAATTAGAGCAATGAGAAAGTCAGCCAGAGGGCACAGATTCAATCTCAGCATTCTGCTGACATTTTCAAGCTGCTCAATTTTGCTCCTGTGGTTTTACGATGTTAGACAATTACACAAAGCAAATTGCTGCTCTTTCTTGTATTTGTGTGTATTCAATATTTCACTCTATTTAATGAGCTGCTTTGTTTGGAAAAAAAAATCTATTTTTTTCCCAATCAAAAGATTTTTGAATTTACTGAGTTTTAACTGGAAATGAGAAAAAGACAGTCTTTTTGCTGAGATAATTCCACTGAGTACTTGCTTGTCTATTTCATTCTCAAAAGACAATTAGTTTTCACAGTGCTTAATCACGTGGCCTTACTGATATTACTGATATTATTTTAAGTAATATTGTCTCACAATATGATAAAACCTACTCCATACCTCTTCCAAAATATATTTCTTACATCTCTAAATCAAGAATCAAGAAGAGCACTTGACTGAGTCATAGAGGGACACTGTCTAGAGGGACACTATCTGAAGGATACAGATTTCTTCAGGGATGTTTTGAATTACTTATGCTCACAGAGAGGACTAGGAGGCTGAATTATCTTGAAAAAAAGGCAAGATGTTCTTGAGAGTACAGAGCAGAGAAAAGCAACTGTACCAGGAAAACTGAGGTGAAAAAACCCAAAACAACAAACACCAAGGCTAAGTAGGAAAAATGGCAAAGTATACCCAGGCTAAAACATATGTTCTTCTTATGCCAAGAAACTTAAATTGTTAACCAGGAATCAATTTTTGGCCTGTGAATGGGCTGTTTAGACTATAAAACTATTTAAAGATGAAAAGTTTAATGAAAAAGACACAATTATGTTCTAAATTCATTCAAATTTAGCCTAGCATTGTTCAGTTGTTCAACCTTTATTAAGATAGATTCGGGCAAGATGTTGGACAAGAAAATTTCAAGAATTAGATTTTCTGATAATCACTGAGATGTCATAACTAAATCAAGTCGCTTTATTGTAAAGCAAAGCCTTCTCATCTCAACATGAAGAGCTAAGTCTGACAAAGCAAGGAGGAAGATGTCAATGTTTCACAAAGATGTCAATGTTTCACAAAGATGTCAGTGTTTCACTCATCTATAGGACCGACATATGGCACCACTTCAGCCCTCACCATACATAATAGAATTATTTTACAATCAGATACATAGGCTCCATCTGTTTAGAATGAAAAATCTTTTCTACCACCACTAAAATTAGGGCATTATAGGACATGTGTAAAAATTCCTGTTGTGAAACTCACCTCCCAGTGCAGTCAATGGGAGTTTTACCATTAACCTCAGTACGAGCAATTAAGTAGCAAGCTGATAAAATTCATTCTTAAAATTCATGTCATATCCTTTCTTTTGTAAGTTACTATCCCTCTCCTAGGATAATTTCACCTACTTAAGAGATTTCCCTTGAGTAATGGCAGATATTTCATCATTAACACAAGAAAGCTTTTTTAACTCCTGGCTAATATAAGCTTGTCATAAAAACAATGTCAAATTTCAAAAATATTAATACAGTAATTTAAGTGCATAGATTATGCATGTTTTACACAACATCCTTACACAGTGCCACAGGCAAGATACCAGTCAATTTGATTACAATGACCTTAAAATAAATTTGTACATTTTTATTTTTGAGGAACAAGAAAGATTCCATCCATGTCTTCTATGATCACAAGATGAATTTCTGTAGAAATCTGTTATATTTAGATATAATTGATTGAAACCAACAGGACTAATTTGTAAATTATTTATAATACTGACTTTCCAACATTAAATCTTTTGCTATACAGATGCCCTCCCAGTCACCATCTGTGTTATTACTAATTAATTTACCAGTTCATTTCTTTCATCTGCTAAGAGAGTATTTCTGTCTTCCAGCTTCCTTATTACAGCATTCAGTTCAGCGATTTTTAACTGAAATCTCCGCACATCTCGTTCATCCAAATGCTGCTCCTTTACATCAAAAACATAGAGACATATAAAATCATCTTTAAAAAAATATTTTACTATCCTTAATTTAATATCATGGTTTAGCAAGTAGATTGTGTAAATTTAAAATACACTCATACATCAGTGTCTGGAAAACCTACTTTAATTAACTGAAACACTAAACAATAACATCCTGTGAATATGCTACCTGAACAGTGTCTGCTTGTGAAATGTATGTAAAGGTCTAACAATTAAAAAAAAAAGGAAAAAAAAAACAAAACACCAAAACCAAACAGTAGACAAATAATATTTCATGTATAACAGGTTACTTCTCACCAGATTCCTTACTCTGAGCTAAAACAATTCTAGTGTATAGGACACAGATTAAAATCACATGAGTCAAGTTTTGAGAAGCAGAGTACCTATTTGCCAATGGTTAAAATATTCCTAGATTAATGAAATAGTAAGGAAATACTGGGGTTCACAGCTGGAGATCACAATGTAAATTCTACAAGTTCTATATCCACATATTTTTCAACATTCTTTGCAATTTAAGAGGTCCAAGGAGTTTCTAAATTATCAGTGAAACAGTACAGTGCAGTGCAGGGCCATTTACCATTAATTGGTCCTTGCAGTATTTTAAAAGTAACCACAAACCCAACGTGAACACCCAGGCAGCAATTACCCTGTGTCAAACATCTGAAGAAAAAACAATTTTCTTACCGGACTTCCCATGAGTTCAGTGATATCTCCTACTCCTGCAGGAAGCTCTCTCTTAGGACTACTATGGTATCGTTCTGCCTCCTTCACTTGGACAAGTTGTTCATCCAAAGCTTCTTTCTGAAGGAGCAGTTTCTGTGTATGGCCTGCCTGGACACCAAGGTCTTTCTCCAGAGCTAGAATCACCCTGTCTTTGCCTTTTATCTCGTCCATCTGGAAAGAAAAAATGCAAGAAGGAAGTTTCTGTAACATCCCCAACTGCTCACTGATTGCACACCTACAAACTTGCAAAAACAAAGTTCTGTTTCTGTGAGAATTTTATCAGCACCCAAACTGTGAGTGCCAAAAAAAGAAAATACATCTTTTCTGAAGCCTTTTCCTCTCTCCTTAAACAAGTTTCAGCTTTCACTTAATCATGAGTTTGCTTGGTAAGGTTTCAACTCAAGAGACAAATGAAATCAGATGCAAAGATACAGTGAAACAGAATACATAAGCACTGAAAACATCCACTTCATCTGAGGATACATACTTCTGTAAGAAGAAAAATCTCCCTTCACTATGTTTCAGAAGGAAAAGGACTAGTACAAGATAACACACAAACACACCTTTTAAAACTTACCCGGGCTTTGTTTTAAAGCTTGAGCCATAAACATTTGCCCCATATTGACTCTCTCTTTATTAGTGAAAATCACATGTGGTAAATCTCTTCACAAGTATTTAAAAATTAGTAGTGTATACATACACAATATTAAAACTGAAAATCTTAAGCATACCTATGTATTTTATGTGCCCTTGTTATAAGATCAAACGAGGACTAGTCTTTGTGCAGAAGGAAAAAAGTAAAAGCACACAGAGCATTGGAATAAAGGGTAGGAAGAAATAGTTCTTAAACACCCTCTATGGTTACTGAACTGTGTGTTCATACATCTCCATAACAAATAAAGCACACTGCTCGCAGTGATCTACTGAAGCTCTCATAGGATTTGTCCCTCACAGCATCAGTGTTAAATTCACTTTGGTACTATTCCAAATCCTAGAGGAAGTGACAATCTGCAGCAGTTACTATAGTAACAGATTTCTTAAAAAGAATGTTAACCATTTACAATATATTTGTTGGAACTGTGCTGTATTACCTTCAGTTTACAAAACTATTTTCTTGGCCAACAGAAACCCATAGAATTTTGAAAATAAAACTATTATAACCTTATTTGAAAAAATAAAATGAAATCATGAACTTGTTAAATCATACACTTGTTTATTATAGTCCTACATCCATAGTAGTCCTTTATTTCAAGTTACATCAAAACAAAAAGAAGATTTAAAAAAAAAGGAAGTGTTGGAAGTAATTTATAGTTCAGTCTAAGTGATGTACAGGATTAACACAATGAGATTACATGATTGGATGCAATTTGCTTCTTCAGGATTCTTTCCTTAATCCTTTCACAGTCTACAAAGCACGTGAAATGCATTTGTGTAAGGAATCTGAGTGGCAGGAGATGGCCTGGTTGAACCATGATAAAAGATAAAAAGGTCAGATTTGAAGTGAGTAATCTGGTCTAGACTACTTTTAAGTTCTCACTGGAACTGATGAAGATTGGTTCTGATGGAGATTTCTTTCCTGATGTGGAAAAGTTGCTAGGTCCCAACTCCTCACACAGTAAATAAAAACAATACTTCCCAGTATGTGAATTCTCATTTGTGAGACTTCAAAGTCTCACAAGACTGTCAAAAAGGACTTGCAGGAAAAGAATGCAGTTTTTATTAATGGAAGAATTTGCAACATGCAGGATTTCAGAGGGACTGTGCAGTGAACAATGACAAAAATTAAGCAGCTGCTTCATTTACTGAGTGCTATCTGTCATGTACACCGATCTATCAGAGAGCCATTGGGAGGAAAAATGTCATGTAACTAAATACTGTGGAGAGTTTCACTTTCAGTTACACAGGTGTTTGCACTGAACATCCATATAACTGACACAGGAATTTTTCCATGCAAGGCACACATTTCATAAGAAGACCCAAGTTTACATTGGCAGCTGTAATTTCAGTTACCCAATTAGTAGCATATTTCATACTCTATAAAGTTCCACAACTGAAATGGTAAATGCAATGACATATGTTTTAAGTTGGAAGAAAAAAGAAAGCACAATCTCCATGTGTCTGCTGAACTGATTGTTTGAAACAGGTGTGACCAGTGCAGTCACACCCGTGTCACCCTCCTCGCACACTTCCATTGATCACACGAGCTCACACAGATTAAGAGAGAAATGCCAGGAAAGAGCATGGCTCTGGGTGGAGGTTAGGGAAGAGAGAATTCTCCTCTGCTCTTCTTACTAGTCTTTCTCCCACCATAAAATCTACACATAGGGAAACTTTCAGAAAAAAACCCCCAAACACCCCATGTTCCAATCAAATAGAAAAATCTTTGAGACGCTGAAAATAATTAAAAATTGCAATATAATTGTAATGACTACAAATCTATTCTATTTTAAGTTGCAGGTAAACACTAGAGAACCTCTTACTCCTGTAAACATTTGTATGTGCACACACACAAATATACAAAACATTGCAACAGCACTTTTTTATAAGCACAAACTACCAGAACAAAGAATTTCTAATCAACTCAACTTACCACGAACCGATAAAGACGAATAGAACTGCATCAAGAACACCTCTAAGTTCTGTTTCAGAAGCCTTGGGATCAATACAATTCTCCTATCTTCAAGGGAACAGGTACATATCCAGTGTAACTACATCAACCTAGTTAATGTCTCAATTTTCTTAAATTTACCCCAATTCCTGACCAAAAGAACTGACTACTTTTACAGACTTGCACAGTACAGAGCGAATTTGTTCATCCTCCCTGCCTACTTTCTCAACAGAGAATACAAATTGCTCCAGAGCACAGAAAAAAGGAAGAGAAATATTTTACAGCAATGCAACATCCCTCAGTTCCACGTGGGAGAGATAGCAGGTCAAGGGCCCAGAAGGTAATGAAAGAGGAGGTACATGTCTAGGAAAAGGATGGTTTAGGTTTAAACTGAACAAAAGCTGCCATAGAAGAAAGGTCCACTTCCAACATAAAGGAAAACAGCCTAATATAATTAGGTATGCATTAGGTATGTATATTATACTATGTATTACATACCTCTGTTTTAGTGGGGAGAAGAGTATCTTCCATTAGGCAAATGAAAATCCAAATGGATTAGTAAAGGTTTCCTACTGCTTGCTATTTTGATCAAGCACATATTATGGAAGCAACACTATCATAGCCAAGATTGTCTAAGAATCTACATGGTCTAAGAGAGAAGTAATATTTTTTATTAGACTAAGTGACAGAGTTGGAAAGAAAGCTTTCAGGTACAGAAACACTTCAGTTGATCAAACTAAGAAGCATTTTCATGTTTCCCTCCATGGCACTGTTCCTACTTGAAGGAACAACATGTGGCAACTGGAACCTGACTGCACTAATCTCCTACCACTGCTTTTGTGTGATCCTGCTTGTACTACAACTCGTTTGAGACCTCTCACTAAGATACCATCTTTTCTTCCAACATATTTAGCACAATGAGATCCCAATCCATGCACTGGACTCACAGGTATTGTGTTAAATCAAATATATTATTCCAGAAATTCCTTCCAACTGGTTTCTTTGTTTTCAAATTTGTTCTCCGTTTAAGACAAATTTGCCCACTGTTTGCAGCTACAAAGTACAACAAGGTCACATGAACTCTTTACATTCTGTTTTGTATAGATTTTAAACGCCTTTAGAATTGTGATTTTTTTTTTTACACACGGTACAATTCAGTACAAAAAGTCTGTGATAGGAAGACAGTGGAGCAACATGAGGTCAGAACACGTTTTCAATTACATGTTTCGAGAAGAAAAGTAGCAGAAATATCCCCTGAAAGACTATTTTAAAGAAAATAAGATCATTCACAAGCACACGCAGAGGGAAATTACTGAGAAATCACCCTGAGTAGCATAGGTAACTCTGGAGCTCTTGGTTAAAATTAGAGCTTTCTAAAGTATCAATTCTTAAAGGGTTTTGTGCTATCATATGTTAGGTGCTGAACACAGACACTACACACATTATGCCAAGAAGAGCTAGCGTTTATAGCCTGTGTCAAAATTACCCAGGTTCCTAAGAGCAGGTATCTAACTGCCTCCTAACAACTGAGAGAAATGAGCAGAAATGAGTCTTTTAATAATATTTATCAAACATGAAAGAAAACCAAGCCGATTGTTGGAAAAAGTATCCTCTGCCAATTATTCCACACTTCAATAGCTACAGTGAATGAAAAGTCAGAGACCTTTGGGGGAACTTTAGCCTCACACAAAGTTGAAAGAGAAATTCCCAGGGAATTAAAAACCACATCTATCAAGGCAGTGACATACTCAGTTTCCAAAGTGGAAAAAGCCAGCTGCTGCATTGCCAAGTGTAAGACTTTCCTCTTTAACCATCCTTGTCAAATTTATCTCCTGGCCAACTGCAGAAAAAATTTCTACAGTGCTCTTCTCCAGAAGTTTAATTAATCTTCATACTAAATGCCTGACATTGAAAATAGGGCTATCTTGACAGAAGAGGTATTGCTGGTTACTAGAGAAATTGCTGGTTACTAGGAAGAACAAAAAGGAGATGCTACTCAAAAAAGCAGGTAAAGATTAAACCAAATGGAATTAACACCTTTTACATTTATAAAGGGACACTAAGATCTAACAAAAATATCCCAAGCTGAAAGCCCACCTGGAGGGAGGAATTGTAATATTCCAGTGTTATGCATAGCATTCTCTACACCAGACAGGGTCAACTAGTTAAATAAATGTTTGCTGCTTATTTAGGAATCTTAGGGGGAAAAGGGACAAAACATGACAGCCATTCAGTGGAGTATTGAGGTTCACAGACACAGGTAGATATGACTTATTCTTAATTTAATGTGTAATTTTTCTAAACCAAAGTCAATATTTTCTTCCCCTAGCTTTTTCCATAATTTTTTTAAAGTATTTTAATTTTATAGGCAAGGCATATATTAAAAGTTTTGATAAATTATACAAGAAATGCCACATGGGCAGAAAATTCCAGAACTTACTGATAGCAGGTTTCTCACATCTTTCTCAAAAGTCATTATTGTAGTCAGTTACAATCTCTATACTGGATTTCTCCTGTTACCTATCCCAAGTGTTCATTAACAGAGCTATAACGAACAAGTAGT